TTGAAGAGTTAAATTTACCGCAGATGTTTTCTAAGTTTGTCATATTAGGGTTCGAATAACCTTCTAACAGTTTGCATAAGATATCTGTAAAGAAAATATTCTTACCTGTTCCTTGTTTTCCAATTATAATGAGAGCAGTTTCATTTTTAGCACTTGGATGTTGTAAGATGTTTGCAAACCAACATAAGATATACTCATAGACTCTTTCGTTTCCATTGCATATAATTTCTTTGACATGGTCTAACCAAGCTTCTATAATATTTTCTTTCCATTCTACTTGTTCATATTTATATCCAGTGAAGATAGAATAGAAGTTTGGAGAAGGTGTATAAAACTTTATACCACGAACTGAAAAATCTTCTAACTTTGACAATAAGATATCCCAAGCATCTAACATCTTCATGCCAACTTGTACGACTTTTATTTTCTTAAGTTTCTGTCTACATTCTTGTTCTGAAACTATTGTTGCTCTTGGTTTGTTAAAGACTACATCCCATTCTTTCATAACATAACATTCTGGGGCAGAGTCGACATAAATGACTAAACGTTTCAAATTCTCGACTGCTTTGTTATAGTCTCGAAATGGACACATATTTCTGAATGTTTGGAAGTCATAAAAATCTGAAACATCTATTCTGTACATTTTTATAAAAATAAAAAAAAATATTTTTTTTTATTCTTGAGCTATTTGTTGCATTTGTTGTTCTTGAGCTATTTGTTGTTGAAGTTGTTCTTGAGCTATTTATTGTTGAAGTTGTTCTTGTAATACAATACTTTCACCGGTTGCATCTTCCAATTCTATACTTTCTGCTGTCATAGAAATATACATAGGACATAAAAGTTTTACGGGAACAAAGTTTGCGTCAACTAAGGTTAAGTTTATGTTTGCTAAAGTGTTTGAGTTTACTAAGGTTGAAAATTCTGCATTCGAATGAACAATAGGCAAACCAGCAGAGAATGTGTTGTTTATACGCATAAGTATCTTTTGGTCATAGTAGTTTCTGTCGACATTCGAATAGCACTTTGAACCTAAGTTTGAAACAATATATAAAATAGGTGTACTTAAAGTCAATGGAATAGACATTCCTTGTATGACACCTTTTCCTGTTATAGGAAACTGTTGGTAGTAAAAACCAGATATAAGTTTTGTATTATAGCTCATATTGTTTATAGTAAACTCAGTCGGACATCCAAACATAACGAAACCTGCTCTAGTTGCAGCACATGTTACACCCGTACCTAAAGTATTAAATAAGTCAACAAAACCTGTTGGTGGTATATCTGAGTAAGTATCTTCAAAGGAGTATTTTTTACCATTCACAACAATAAAATCTTCTGGTGTCAAAAGAGCAAAACAAGCTTTAGTCGTCATTGTGTTTAAGGTCAGTTTACAATATCGTCCTTGAGGACTTTGTAAGTTTGTTGTTATAGAATTATATGACTCAGGGTTTTTAGTCGTAATAGTATAAACCACTATGTCTTCTGCCATTTACATATATTTAAAAGTTTTTCTGAAAGTGGAGAAGAACTTCATCTAAACTTTCACATGGCGTTTCTTGAAGTTCTCTGTCTAAGAAGTTCAAATATTTTGTAAAGACATAGAACTTTCCTTTGTCTACACGAACAAACAAAACAGGGTCTTTCATATCGTTCAAAAGTGTGTAAAGTCCTTTACATGAAATAAAGTCTATATTATTTTTCTTCAAACATCTTTCAAGAAGTTTTGACATTTTTACTTAGCAAATAAATTTTAATGAAATGTTGTGGTCGTCAAATATTTTTATAAACGTCTGGGAAACTATATTTTAAGTTCAACGTTTCACCTCCTTTCATAACGTATATCTTGTCAATGACATTATATGAAACACCACAGCAACTAACGTCGGGTTCTATTTCTTTGATGTTTATATCGTCTGCCTCTGTCAAAAGTTTCAATAGTTCTTTCAAAACTTCATGAGGTGCAATGACATATGAGTTCACTTTTACAGGGTTGTGTTCGACCAAGTTTAACATTATACCTAAAGCTTGACAAATCTTCTCCTGAGTTTGAAGTTTGTCTTTCAGTTGTTGGTAGTCGTTTCGAATATCTGCAACAGAACTTAAGTCTCTGCTAACTTCAGGTATGTTTGTTCTTTTACAGGAACTATTGTTATACCATCTTGTCTTCGTATGGTTTCCCCATTTCAACATCTCTTTCTTTGACATTGACAATAACACTTTGACTGTTTGTTTGAGTTGGTGAATTTAACTTCACATCTGCCACCGCCATTAAACCTTTTGAAACACTTACGCTTCTATTTTTCGGAAATGACATTTTACTTAGAATAAAAAAGATGGACGTATTTGAGTATCTCTTCGAATTGAAGCAAAACAAAGTTTACACACACAAACAATACAAATACATTGACAGAATAGTTCTTTATACAAACAATGGTAAATGTTATAGAATAGCAGTCTTTGCTGAACCAAAATATTTTCATAAAGCAAAGAAAGTTGGTATAACTGAAATGGTGAAAGTTCTTGAAGCAGACAAAAATATAACTTCAAAACTTACAGATATTTCTAAAGGTAAGTTTATAATACAATATTATGTCAAAACTGGCGTACTGTCAATATTTGACGGAGAGAAGTCAGTTCAAGAACAACTTACTGACCTGCTGCCAAAATCTGCTCGATGGAAGCTGTCGTTTACCAATCTGAGGAGCCCCAGCAGGTTTCATCGAACGAATCTTCAAAAGAGCATCTTCCGTGAAAAGTGCTATTGGTTTTGTAAACTTCTTTGCTTTCATTCATCTGGACCGTCTCTGTCACCAGTATATTGTATTTGAACTGTACCAACAGTTGAAATACCACCCATAAAGTCTTCTGAGTCAGCAAATGGAATGCCAAGCCAAAAGTTTGAACGGTCTCCATTTGTATATTGAGTTTTTTGACCTCCTGTATGAGTCCATACTTTCACATATGGCATAATAGAACTTTGCATTTCAGGGTTAATGGTTGTTGTGAAGTTGTTGTTAAAGTTCATAGCATCTAATGTCAAGTTGTATGACCTCATATCCTCAACTGTAGAATATTCTTCTCTTGGATAATATTTGCCATCTATGTTTATATGATATTTAATACCGGGGTTGTAGAAACAAGAATAGTCATTTATAGTTCGTCTGAACAGTAACAAACAAGAGTATCTGCATGTTTCATTGCAGTTGTTAAGGCAATATCTGTTCTTGCACCTGGGTCAGCACTTTGGTTTCCAACTTCACCTGCAAAGTCTTTGACAGATATTTGGTGTATAGGGAACATAAGTGGAACTGCAATATATTTGGCAGCTAAAGCATTTGAAATATCTGGGTCCAACATATAGACTGCAAGTCTGCTTTCTATTCTCTTGCATTCAAATTTTCGCATGTGAACTTAACTGGGTCCCAAGCAGTTCCAGCAGCATTGAAATAATAGTTTACTTCAGTGTTGAGGTTTGAGAAACCAAAGTCTAAGTCAACTTTGTCTTTGCAAAAGTCGGCGAATGACGTTTTATTTGTTCCCACTACTTCTGTAAGAGTGAATGGGTCTTGTGTTGGTGCAATGACTAAGTTATTTTTGCTTGGAGTAAGTTCAATAGAAATTTTTTCCTGCCCAGTTTGGCAAGTATCTTAAAAACCTGAAGATGAGGAAAGATGACAAAGGAACTCTAAGTTTCAGTTTTACTTTAGTGACAGCATTTCCATCTGAACCAGAAAGGTTAACATAAACTCCTGGAACGTTAGGGTCAAGTCTTCTTATTTTCTCAATAGTTGCATACTGGTCTGTTTGTTCTCTAGCTTGTGGTTGTACTGAGTTTCTCAAAGCGAACCATTCATAGTTTGCCCATGTTACTGTTTGAACTAAGTCAGAGTTAGAATATATCTTATATCCATGAAAACTTCTGGAGCATATTGGTATCCGACATAGAAAATTCCATTGCAACCTTTCTTGTCAGACAACTTGGCAGAAGGTTTATTCAATGTCGTGTTCCACGTATAAGAATGAGTTGTCAATAGAAATAATATGAAACCTGTCGCAAGCAATATCTACTGTTGTTGAAGAACCTTCTCCAAACTCACCTACGTTTCCATAAGAAACAGCAGTTGTATATTCGTAAGTTCCAGGAACTATTTCTGACCTTCTAATGGCATTGTCGCATTCGTTATACCATTCGGAAACATTTCATTCATGGCATCCAAAACTGTTGGCGTTATATTCTGAGCGGCGTACATTTCATATGGGTAAAAATATAGAATAGTTGGATTTATGTGTCATAATAGAACCCACGTGGACCAAGCTTTACTTTCTTCCTGGCTGAGTTTTTAACTCTTCTTTTTCCTTCATTGCCACTACTTTCACTAGATGAAGTTACTTCTTCACTACTTTCACTTTGTTCTACTCTTCTCTTCTTCTTTGGTGTCGCTTTTGGTAACTTGCCCTCTGCTTCAAGTTGTTGCATCTTTGCCTCATGTTCACCTAGTATGTTGTAAATTTCCCATGTCCTTTTTGCCTTTGGGCTCTGGTCGCCCATCTCAGGTAACCTATATCCTAGAAAGAGTTTGTCATAGTTTGTATTTGAGTCTTCGCGTATTGTTTGCATGACTCTTTCCTGAGTTTCCGGTTCAAGCTCTTCAAACAGAGCTTGTCCATATGGAATAAGCTCGTTTCCAAATATATGTTTTTGTAGCCATTCTGGTTTTCTTTCCATGTTACCAATTATATCTTTTGTGAATGGGAAAGCTTTTACCCAATGTTTCAGTCTTGCGTCATTTATTTCTGTAGTTGGTTTTATTTTGTCAAGGAACATGTTTTTCAATACTAACATTTCATTTGGTACTGTCCATTTGAGTTTTCTTAAATATTCATCCCTTCTCGGTTCATTGTCTGCAAAGTAAGTTTTTATGACATTTTGTAAACTTTCGTTTGCAAGGTCATGTACAATAGGTTCTCTTCCTTCTCTCTCCCTAACTTTCTTTCTAAACTCTTCACCAAATATACCATCTCTATGGTTCTGTGTAGTTCTTTGAGATAAATGTTCTAGAACGTCAGGTGTTATATTTCCATCAGCCATGTTCATTTCATACTGGTCCAAAATATCTGCATGTTTCATATCTTTCAATGGCATTAAAGCCGCGCTGAAAATACCAGCTATATCTGGTTCACCATTCACTTCCATTGCGTCTACAACTTCTTGGAATTGTGGTTGTAAGTTTATGAACCACCTATCCGGGTTAGCTTTATGACCCCATCTCATTGTAGTTCCATAGTCTGCAGAAACAAAAGTAGGTTTGTTTCCATATTGGTTAGGTTCTGAATGAACTTTAAACAATGTTTCATTTCTATATGTTTTGTTGAAATTTAACCTTTTATTTTCACCGAGTTCAGCCAAAGATTGAACGTTATATGGTCGTAAGTAAAAAGGGTTGTTGTATTTGTGTACATTTTCTTTCAGTACTTCCATTCTATGCTGAATATTTTCATCTGGTGTTGGAGTCTTTTGTATGTCGGCAAACATTTTTCGATATTCTTCTACTATGTCAGCCGAATTTTTTTTAGACTCTTGGAAAGATTCCATATTCACCTCATACTCTTGTTGAGGGTCAAGATTTTTCGGCTGTTCCAAATCTTCATCTAGTTCTGTGAAGTTAGTTTCCAAAGGAGGGACTTGTTCGTTTCCTTCAGGCTCTTCTAGCTGTTGTTGCTGAACTATTTCTTCCATGTCTGGTTGTATCTGAACTTCTTCCTGTGGAGTTTCTTGTACCTCATCTGCTGGCATTTCATATATTCCGAGACCGTTTTCAACAAGTTCCCTATCTAAGTCATCCGCTCATAAACCTTTCTTCTTTCGTTCCGTCTCTATTTTTTACGCGTTTCATGAAGAAGTTGAATTGTCATTTAGCTCTGACACCAAATATCTCGGAGTAAATTCGTTCATGTCATTTGGATGATATGCTATTAAATCATATCCCTTAGCGAGCTTGTATTTTCCAGGTTTGAAATTATATCCCATTTGGTGCTGAGCCATAAAGCTAAATAGGTTCGGGTCAGTATTTCCTTCCTTGAACTTTCTAATAGCTTCTTTATATCTGTCACTAAAGTCAAGAGTATCTGGGTAACCATAGTCTTCTTTAAGCATTTTTAAGAATTCTTGGTTTCCTTGTTCTCTACTTCTTTTATGTCCTTGCTCTGTTTGTGGTTGTTGTTGTGCAGGGTTTTGAACTGTTGGTTGCTGTGCTGGTTGTGGAGGTTTGAACTGTTGGTTGTGTGCTGGTTGTTGTTGGTGCAGGTTTTGAACTGTTGGTTGTTGTGCTGGTTTTGTGTTGGTTGTGTGTGGTTTTGGTGCATGCCTGTGTCTGTGTCCATGTGACGATGTAAATGTTTTAGGTAGTCCTGGTGCAGGTGCTTCTCTTGGAGGGTTTGGTGGTATATATTCCACTAGCTAGTATAATAAGTTCCACCAGCTGGTTATAAGTTCCACCAGCTGGCACATATGTTCCATCTGCAGCATAATGTCCTACCTGACTTTTCGTTTTTAAGAAAGCATTTACTAGGTCTGTTTTGGTCTGTTTGTAACTCTTTTTCTTGACTTTCCACAACAGTTGCTCTAACGGCGTCATAGGCACTTTGAACTGCCTGTCTCGTTGCTGCATCTGTTATTTTCGTCATATTTTGGTGCTACTTCTCTTAACTCGTTGTCGAAACCTTCAGACTTCAGTTTCTTTCCAGATGAGAAGTCGTTCACTAGTTTCACCTTACTATGAAGAGCTTCGAAGGCGTTTCTTAAGTCAGCATTCATTAAAGCTTCATTTGAAACTGTCTTCATCCGCTTGTATTTTTGTCCTTATTGACCCTATAAGTTGGGCTGCTTTAGCGTCGGCTTGGGCATCTAACCAGTCATTGTTAGCTTTTATATATTCTGCGCTTTTTCATTGCCTTTTGCATGGCTGCGTCGTTATTTTTACTTTCTTGTGCTAAGTTTTCATACTGTACGGTTTGGTTTGCAACTGTAAAAGTTTTTCTGCCTTTACATTTGCTTCAACTTCTTTTTTATACTCATCGCTATCCATATATGTCTCAGGGCTTTTTGTTTATCTCTTCATCTTTCAGTACTTTATATTGAGTAGTATGGTTTTTCAAATTTACAACATCTTGTTCCATTTTTGCTACTTCTGCTGCTTTTTCTGACACTTTTTTCGCATATTCCTCTGTACTTAGTTCTTTCAGTTGTTCTTCTTTCTTCTTTTTCTCTACGTTTAACTCATTGAGTTTCTTTGTGTGTCTGTCATATTCTAGTTTCTTTTCGTTTTCACCTATTTGTTTCTGTATGTCTATGTTTGACTTTTTGACATCTGTTATTTGATTTTTGAGTGAACTCAAATTCATTTGACTTTGAGGGTTATAAGCTGTTCCGTCTGCAGCTCCACCATAGCCTGCCATTTTCGCTAAAAGTGCCGCTCTTAAACCTCCACTCTGTGCACCAATAACTCGGTTTAAAAGCATAGGGTTGCTTGACATTTGTTGCAACATAGTGGGGTCATTCATCATTTGTTGTTGCAACTGTTGTTGTGGTGTCAGTTTTACTATTGGATGTTTCAATGCTCTCTTCCTCTTACGTATATTCTTACGTAGCTTACGTGGCATTTTAAGTGAAGTTAAAAAGCGGTTTTTGACAGATGTTTATATGACACTATTTGTTCAGCACAAAAAACTACTCGGTCAAAGTGTTATCAGTTTTGTAAAATAACCGTCCTATCTTGTTTTAAAAGGGAGAAAAGGCTTCTCAAAGTATACTTCCTTGGAACGCCCGTAACTTTTCCTGTAGCGACGATAGACCCTTACTTGTCCGGACAAAGTTATACTAAACATCTTCAGGGCTAGAGGGCACGAAGTGCCTGGAGGCCCCACTACCTTTTTTTTTTTTTTTTTCTGTATATTTATATACAAAAAAAATATATGTTATTTGTGAATATTCAAAAAAGACTTTTTATGGTAGACCAGTAATAAATCCATGTATTCCAACTGATATCAATAGAATTGCAGCAGATATTATCATGAAATCTAATATTTATCTAATGTGGATAAATGTAAATGAATGAGAAAATAAAAAAAGTAGGATAATAAATGGTTCAAGATCTCCTACTTGGAATCATTTCAATTTTTCTATTAAAAAATGACAAAAATAGACAAATAAAGTATTTATTTATTTAAACTTTTGAATACTTTTTATCTTTCATTCTACAACTTGTAAATATGAAGATTATTCATTGAAAATAAGATGTAATAATTAAATAAGTTAAGAAATAGATAAAGCATTTATTCATTTATTATATCATTCAAGATAGCTTTTTCTTCTGGTTTACCGCTAAAGAAATCGAAGACATTTGATGAGACGTATTCGTTATCTAGAATCAGAGATTTCAAACATTCCTTTGCTTCTTTTATCAGTTTCTGTTTGAATCCCAATTCTTCCAAGTCATCATTAGACATTGTTACGAATGAAGTCAAAGCAAGAGCAATATCTAGATAAAAGAACTTGTTTGAATGCATGTTAGAGTTGTATATCAGTATCAAATCTCTAACTAAGTCTGGATAGTCCCATTCTATCTCTTTTTGGGAAATAAATTCAAGCATTGAGTGGACTGTGTCGAAATCAAGGGAATTTGGAGGAGATTTCGGTAATAACTTCAATACAAATGGTGGGATTGGAGTAAATTCATTCTCTTCTTCAATAATTTCGTTAAATACATCAAATAATGTATTTAATATCGGAGTTGTTTCAAGGGATTCATCAGAAGCAGTCCATAAACTATCAAGAATGTCAATTAAGCATGTGACAATGTCTATATCATCACTATTTACCTTTAATAAGTCTAATGTCATTGAAATTAGTTCATTAAACCTTTCTCTTTGGATCAAATCGTTTTTAATGGACTCAACAATCAATGATCCGATCTTTTCGATATCTGTTGTTATAGGGAAAATCTTTAAAATGAAACAAATTATTTTTTCATCCTTATTTTGGATCATTTCCCTAATAAGATCGTATATATCAACATCATCTGACTCATATTCGTAAAATGGAAGGCTATTGTAATAAGGAAGTCTTCCAATGAAAGTTAAAATGATAATCTTTTCAATATCTGGGATAAAATCATTCGGATATGCAATTATGACCTCTATGAAGTAGTTAAACGCTGCTTTGATGATCTCTTTCTCTTTGTTTTTGACAGCGACCTCAATAATTTGATAAAAAATCATTTTATCTTGGCCCTCATTGTAATATCCTATTAAATGGCTGAATGCATTGATACTTGCAACAATCCTACGAACAGAAAATGAAATTAAATTTTCCATAATAATTTCAATTGGAAAATCAAGGCTTTTGTCCTTTTCACATATCATACTGAGTGATTCCATTGCAATAATTGATGATTTCTCGTCTTCACAGACACAAATATCTAAAAATGTCTGATTTAATGGTAAAATGAAGGTTTCTACATCAGTAATCTTATTATTAACAAATCCACATGCAATGAATCGCAGAAGTGGAGCAATTTCTGGTGTAATTTCCTGCTGAATGATTTCAAATGTCTTATTTACGCCAATCATAACGAGATTAACAAAAATATCAGGGCATTCCGATTTCAGGAAGATAGGAAGTAAACCTATTGCATGCATTTTCACAATTGGAGGTGAATTTTCATTCTGAATATAAGATAAAACCAAACGACTTGTTTTTGTTACAGCAACCTTATCCGATACAAATATTAAGTATTCTAGTATTGAAAATATGTCTTTTGTGAAATCTAAATTAAATTCTCCCAAATTATCGATTTCTTCAACGATCTTTGAGCCATCAATTTTATCATGGTTCATCAGAACCTTTAACGTTTTCTTTGTGGCCTTAAAAGCTTCAACACTCGTTTGAGATGCAGCAAAAATGTTGGAAATATACTCTTTTTCAAGCATAAGAGGATCAATATGATCTGATATGAGGCCAAATGCTAAGATTATCATGGGTTTGTTCGTGTTTTCGAACATTAATAACGTTGATAACCTAGAACTTATGAATGAAGGAACATTTTCAGATAAAGAAGATAGTGCATCACAAAACACAGCTGAAAAGAAGGCTGCAGATGAAGCCAATTTCGAATCATCTAATAATGGTCGTAAAATGTCCCAAATTGCGGCCAATTGGTCTTCATAAAACTGACTACTGTTAATGTGGTCTGCAAAATGACTATCAGGAAGGTAATTCTCAATCTGGGAAAAATCTGAAACAATATTTGTCAACAAATCCTTATAAATGTCTGGATTCATGAGTGTGAATGATATTGCAAGGTTTGGAATGACTTTTAGTCTGTCTTCAAGAGATAAATCAGCTAATGAATTCAAATATTGAGTTAAACAATCAGGAACGTAAAATTTAAGCTCCGGAATGGTCATTTCTAATGATAATAAGATCTTACTAAATGTATAAACAATATCTGAGATAAATTTTGGTTCATTATTGATCATTGTAATAATATAACCAAAAATGAAGTCAATTAACTGCCTATGGCACTCAAAGTTTTCTAGAGATAGTGCAAATGAGCATAATTGTGTAATTAGTTGTGTTTGTTGAGCCAATGTTGCGTATTGAAAATTATCCATGATTATGTGTATAAATATTGTAGAATCCTCTGCAGATTGTATTGATATTTCATCTATATATGCTAACAGTAGAAACATTTTAAGGATATTATTCTTATTATTTTCGGAACGAATATATTCGAGAATTATACTTAGACTGCTCTTAGTTGAATGAGATACAATGGTAAATGCCTCATAAATATGCTGAATTACAAGTTTGTTCGTAAATTTTTCGAAATTTTGGATAAAGCAATGAATTAGAGCATCGATATCTTGTTTTTGAATTTTATTGACATTTTCTAGTAGATATATTGGTATTGAAGCGACAATTCCTAAAGTTACATCTAAATTTTCATCTTTATATTCATTATTTTCAACTAATTTTATGATTTCTTTAACATCTTGGAAGCCTACACCATACGGGATCTGGTTGGAATCATTTAATCCAAGAATTGTTTTCCCTAAGTTCTGGAATTCTTCCAAAGACATTAAAAAATGAGAATTTCGCTATGACAAGTAGATGTGATTTGATTCTGTACAGCTAAATATTAATATATTTAAAACATTGTAGAATTAAAATTTTTGACGATATCAATTTATAAAAAAAATGCAAGCGAATCCTTTTAATAAAGCTAAGATACGATTTGCTTCACTTTGTCCACCTAGTAAAGTGTTCAACACAGGGAGCATGGACTGGGGAGCATGTGGGCTACTTGCATTAGCCGGTAAAGGCACAATTTATCTCTATAAAACTACTAAAAATGATATTTCTTTCTTACGATCCATTGAAATTCTAAATTCTAACATAACTTGCCTTAAATTCCACTATGAGCTACCTTATCTTGCAATTTCAGACGATTGCGGAAGAGTTTTGTTATGGGATTGTGAATCAGGTCTTACACTCGGAATCACTCGTCAAGTATCTGAAGCTCAGTATGTATCGGAGCTTCAATGGTCCGGTAAAATCGTTTTAGGCTTTGCAGAACCAAATACAATTTATAGTATCGATTTTTGGCCGTATGAAGCTGAAGATCAAGCGAAAAACTCACGAATACTTTGGAAGATAGATGTTCCTGGTACATATACAAGGATGGCTGTTAATAGTTCAGATATATTCACTGCAATTCTATATTCTAATGGTCCATCCTTTACAATTATCACGTCAAAGAATGCCAAGCAGGCTCCAACATCTCAATCTCAATCCCATACTTTAGATAAATCAGAAAAAATCGTAGAAATTCAACATCATCCCCATATTAGTAATATTTTATTAATTATGCTTGAAGGAAAAATACTTACGTTTAACATAGCGACCAAATCTGGCCGAAATCTTGTAATCGATGAATCATCCCAATCATCTTTCCATAAACTGCTTCCTTCTTTAACAAATGACAACGAAATTGCAGTTTATGGTCAAGACTCGTCACTCAGTATCTATATCTGTAACGAAGACTACATTTTTACAAAATCAGGAACAATAAAATTGAAAAGAGAGCTGTTTGACTTAAAATCGAAGTATTTACCACTATCCGCTGCATGTAACCGTGCACTTCCCGAGCGATACATCGCGTTCTCTCCATCAAATGGCTTAGTTATGTTTGCCATAAAAGATGATATACCTTACGTCATCGCGCAGTCTCAAATTATACCACAGATACCAACCTGTTACGATTTCTACGACGGAATCCTTGCTTTCGGCACTCCAACCGGAAAGATAATTTTCGCAGACGTTTCAGAAGGGAAATACACACAGAACTACCTTGCATCCAGCACATCCATTGAAAAGATCAAGTTCCTTACCAAAGATGTCCTTCTGTGGTACTCAAAAACCGAGTGTGGATCAATAAATCTTCCCAAGCGCCAAGTTATTCCAATCCACACTCGCCTTGGCCCTGCCACAGACCTAATATGTTCAGAGGAGCTCGGCGTTTTCGTCCACGGCAAATACGACCTTGGTATTTTTTATGATGTCAAACAAAAGCCGATGACTCTTCAAACATCCATCACCGCTGTTGCAGTCCAAGTATCCAGAATACCAGCAACATGTTTCCAAGGCGATACTCCCAATTTCGCCGTATTATTATCTACCGGAGAAATCCAAGTCTACACATACAAGAACGGCATAGCACAGATGCCTGTTCTGAGGCTGCGTAACTCACGGGAGAACTCCAGGACAACTTGTCTTGCTTGGAAAGGCGATTGCATCATAACTGCTGACACAGACGGCGTAATTATGTTTTACGACTTTGCTTTCGGTACATCGAAGCAAACATACTCTCCTTTCATCGACATAGACAGGATAGAGTTCGAGAGATCATCCAGCGGATTGTACGTACACGCGAGAGACGGAAAATTTGGTTTTTCACTTGAAAAAGTGGAAAGTTGTCCTTTTTCTGTTTCCTCATTCGCTGTAACAGGAAATGGACTCGTCCTCGTCTCCCCGCTCAATGACGAAGCCGTGAAATTCGTTATTGCAAGAGACTGGAGATCTGTAAAAAGAATCACTTCACCTGCCCTCTTAAAACCGCTAAAAACCGCCCAGCAACGGTTAGAGCTTATGGGTGAGCAATTATTAACGAATCCTACTACAGGAACATGGTCAGAAGCACTTCAAATAGCTGAGATAGCTAATGACCATGGATTTCCAACTGATTCCATTATTTGGAAGTGTGTTTCACGTAGTTTGGGAGGTCCGAGGTTGCAAGCACGACATTCCATGTTTGGAGGGAAAGAAGAAGTTGTTTCCGCGTTGAGGATTCAATCTTCTCTGTTTTCTCCTGCAGATACTCCGATTTCTGCCATTTTCAACTTGTTATTCAAGTTCAGAATGGGTGATAGAAGAGGAGCTGTCGAAGTTTTCAAGAGTCTCTCCAACAAAAGCGAGTTCACAATAGTGGCAAGCATTTGTTCGGCGTTGCTTCTCGGTTACGAAGATAAAATTTTGCCACAAAACGTGACAGAATTTTTGATAACAACCGCTGTTCCACTTTTTGCACAGCACAGATTTATAGAAGGCTGTATATTGATGCATTTAGCTGGCGCTAATCTTTCTGCCGCGAGATATCTTCAGGACAACGGAAGATGGGAAGATTCTGTCGAAGTCTGCAAATTGGAAGAGTTTTCGAATGAGTCGAAGAGTTTGTTGAGAAGAGCCGCCCACCACTTCTTGGATACTGGAAATGCAATGAACGCTTTGTTGCTGTTCATATCAATAAGAGATTTCCATCCTGCTTTGGCAATTTTGATGCAGATAAAATACAAAGCTCTCGCGTTTCATTTGATGATGTTCTTGGATAGGGCTGATGTAATTAAGCCGTACGACGAAGACACTTCGAGATACGCAACACAGTTTGCGGATTTGGATACTTTGAGACAGGATATAATTGTCAAATATGACAAAATAATTAAGAAATAATTTTATTTGTATATTTATTTTGTTTATTTATAAAAAAAAGTCGAAAAAAAAAATGAAATTGTTTATATGGCATTTTCAATGATCTTTCAAGCCAGTTGTCAGATAGAAAAAAAAATTACGCATTTAAGAAAGTTAAAGGGGAAAAGGATCCTGAAATTGCGAAACATTTAAAAAAATAAAAAAAAAATAAAGTGGGAAAGTCTGGAAATGATATGCTATGTATTGTAATTTTCAAAACTCAGCTTTCTAATGGAGCTATCACTTGTTACGTAAACTATATATATCGAATCAAAAGTTTGCCATGTTGTAATTTGATTTACAAGACATGATTTAATTAAAAAATAAAGGGTTTAAAATATAAAATAAAATATTTATCAAAGAAAAAAAGTTAAACTAAAAAATATATCAAAATAAATATTATATTAAATTAAATTACACATTAACACCGGAGCCGGAATCATCTTGGATATCAGATGATGATTTAACCTTAGATGGTTTCCTGCGGAAAACGAAGTAGATGATGAGAATAATAATGATAACAGCAAGAAGAACGCCAATAACAATACCAGCCTTCTGTCCACCAGTAAGTCCACTATTTTCAGGTGTTGGTGCAACGTATTGTTGTTTCTGAAGTGAAACCTCTGTTTCAATGATATTGGATTGAGCTTGATCATTGGATCGAGCTAACCTAATTTGAAGTTTAACTGTTCCATCTTTTTTGATATCTTCATACTTTGGAGCTGGAATGTTGAGTAGATATTTCTTGCCTTCGTCGGCATGTAATTTCTTAATTGCAGATGGGGTTTCTACTTCAGTTACATTGTCGTCTGGGAGATCTATCCATTCCTGATCTGTATAGAATCTATATTGGAAGCTTCCTGTCTTTGCCTCAAAGTGTTGGAATGTAACTTTAACTGGAATATATTCACCGGCCTTGAATGGTTCTGTATGATTTTCAGCAACAACAGTTGGTGCAGATAAATATGGAGACTTTCCAAGAGAAATTTGAAGTTCAGAAGAGTTAGCAGTTTGACCAGCTGGATCTGTGATAGAAACTGTAATGTTAACCTTTGAGTCTTCAGAAATATCTGAAGGAGCTGTAATCGTAAATTCATAAAGATTTCCTTCTTTCTGGGTCAATGTTGCATTAACGGGTTCAGAATTACCAAGTTTATATTTAGGAGAAGCTTCAGTAGCATTAACAGCTGCAACAGCGTTGAATGAAAGTTTGATTGGCTGTTCAGCAGTGTATTTATAACCTGTTGTATTAATAGTATCTGTCAGATTATCAACTTTAGGAATAGCACAATAAATAATATTCGGAACAGTAACTTTGGATACAATTTCATTTTCTTTGATTAAAGCGATATAAAATGGATAAGAATTAGAAGAATTAATAGAGTCAGGAAGAGTAATGTTATACTTGGTTTGGGATCCCGAAACTGAAGAGTTGAGTAGAGAAGTATAACCAGAAGCATTTGCAGGTTCAGTTTTCATTTTAACATATTTGAGAGTGTAATTATTAGGTGGTTTTCCATAATAATTAATAGAAATCGGAAGATCAAAAGAATCTTTGGCTTTCTTATAAAGCTTTGATGATGATAGGTTAACAGAAATTTTAGGTAAAAAGCTAACATTACAGGTACCTAACTCGGATGTATTATTGGGGGCGAACTCAACAACAACAAGTAACTTTGTCTTATTATAATCCTCTGGAGCGTTAACTTGGAAAGTCAATTCTGTCTTGTTTGTGCTATTTACGGCTGTTGCATTGATAACATTTTGTGATGTTTTGACGCTAGTGACATTGGCGTTGGAAGCGTTGCTTTCTGTTGCAAAGAGATAATATGTCTTTGTAATTGTTAAGTTTTTATTGAGTATGATTTTGGCTGGGTATGAAATGCCTGAAGTTACTCCTTTGCCATCGTTGTAAAGAACACTCTCGATAACTTTTGTTTGATTTTCTTTAGGCTCATTTAATATATTTTTCTTCTTATATATTAATTCCTTTCTTTTCGGATCTTTACTTAAAGTATGTAATAAAAACCCAATCCACATTATTAAAATGAAGTGATCTTATTCACAATATTTCAATATCTCCCAAAATTTTATTATACTCATTTTCGCTTTTTCTATGATCTCAATTTTACTTCTATTCAAATTATTCAATTATTTCTCATTCATATTTGAATATAGTGTTGTAAACAGAAATTCATCAAAAGTGACACTTCAGAAAAGCTAAAATATTGAATTTTTGGAACTTTTGATAGAGCACGTTTTTAAATATTAATTAAAGTAAATGTATATTTTGTAAAGATTCTTTTTAATAAAAAAATAAAATTTTGAAGAAGAACACAAAATCTTCTGAAAAATAATATCATATAAACTCATAATATTTTCTAATATATAACTATTTTATATAAAAATCAAATTCAATGATCTTAAAAGCGAAGGATAAACCTCAAAATTTACGAATATAATGAGTGGGAATATTATTTTTCAGAAGATTTCATTCTATATGCCTATGAAAAGTACTCTCAAAACTAACTTTTCCTAATTATAATTAAATCTAGAATATTGTAATATGCTTAGTATTATTTCATTTTTCTCATTCAATTTAGAATTTACAAATGTCAAAAAATTGAGAGCTGTTACTTTTGATGAATTTCTGTTTATTACAATAGGTTTCTTCGTATCCAAATTTTATTATACTTATTTTAATTCTATATTTCTTAATTTTTATTTAATTATTATTTCCATTTTTTAAAACATATTAATAATTGTGAGCTTTACAAAATATTTGGGAAATATTTTGTACAGCTCACAATTTCTAATATGTTCTTCAAAATAGATTAAAAATTGAAAACCGCTACACTCATTCAATTTTTAATATATTTTGGTAAAATCAAATTCAACAATTTTTTTATCTTGATTTTTCAACTCTCAACATATCCATTTATAACTTCAGTTAATTTCACATTTTTCTTTCCGACTCATAAATTTTTCTCTTATATTTTTCCCCGAAATTTCAACGCTCAATTTAAAAGTAATATATAGATTCTATTTTTTGCCAATCTTTGTCTTGTATATCTGGATACTAAAATTCACTTTCTTAGAATTTTTCTTGACTCTCATAGTCAAAAAAATCTCAAATTGTTTGCTGCATTCAAATTTTCAGAACTTTTAAAGTTCATGAAAAATATACTTGTCCTTTCAGCGTTATTAACATTATCAAGTTATGTGATAGAAAATAACCTATTTTTTCTCTCAAACGATCGATTTTCAACAAAAGCACTCAATACTCTATCATCCTTATAACATTTACCGCAAATATCGGTGGTTTTCATAAAATACTTTAAACGATAGGATTTTGACCTACATCCCACCAAAACTAAAATACTTATTAAACTTTACCAATATATTTTTAATTATATGGATAGCATTGTTTCTCATATAATGGAGTTGACAAAATCGAGCCACGTTGGACAAAAGCATAAATATCTTAAAAATTGAGTCAAAACCGATAATTTTTTATTCTGTATTGTTATGAGTTGAGGAACCAGGTTCGATTCAATTTTTTGGAAAGATTTTTTTCTTTTTTCAGAAAACATGGTGATAATTAGAATTATAAATAATTCTTTAAGGGTGCACACGAGAGGATCATGTAAACTTCAGAATTGAGAACCTTATTTTTAGGCATTATCTTGGCTACCTATTTAGGCTCGAAAAGCAAAAAATATCAAAAAATACAACTTGACTCCATTATGACCCTTTCATGGAGGTAGTTTTTATCCGCTAGTATTTTCCCTTTGAATCTCTTTCCAATTCGAAATCAAATTCAAAACTCAGTAGAAGAAAGGAAGAATCGACTTACTACGGTTGTAATACAAATAAATACATATATTTAATTATTTTTATTTACATAATAATTGTTTGAAGCTCATATTCCATCAAATTTTTAAATAAAAACATTAAAATGTTGAAAATGTTCATATATTTTAATAGGGTTTTGGCACTTTATTGAGGAATTACTACATACATAGTCGAACTGAACTTGATATTTTGAAATTTAAATTATTTATCAAAATTAAAATTTAACTTGAAATTTATAATTATTTAGTCATATTTTGCATAATTCTAAGTAGATTTTGTAAAAAATCAAGAAAGAAAAATTTTAACGTGCTTTATTTTTTCCTTTTTATAATAATACATATTATTATATAATTAACATATTCATAATGTTTCACCCTTTCAAAAATATAATCCTCCTCCTCTCAAATAAACGTACATACGGGTGGCCTCTTTTTTCAAAAAATTAAAATTTGAAATTTTGGGCTCAAATATTAGAGATTTTTTCAACCTTCAACGATATATGTTGTCTATATCAGACCTCCTTTCTTTTTGATACTTAACATTGTTCCTAAATCTTAGCCGTTAAGGCTGTTCTGAAAATATTTTTTTTTCGAAAAAATTCGAAAAAAATTCTTAAAATTCAAAAATCCCTTAATTCCTGAGGATTTTGGAAAAAAGTTTTTACATGAACATGTGTATATTATATGAAGTATATTGATAAGGTAAAAATCAAATTTTATTGCATATTCATCGAGAAAATAAACTAACGAATCCCTCAAAATTGAGAGGGTAATCCTCCTCCTCTCAAATAAACGTACATACGGGTGCACCCTTAAAGCTGTTATAAAGGTAGACCAGCAAAAAATACGTTATTTCGCAATTTTTTCAAAAAATCTTATGGTACTTATTTTCATTTGAATAGCCTCTCAGATGAATATAATTCTAAAGATTTAAGGGGGCATATTGAACAAGTCCTAGAATAATTATATTATTTGTATTATTTGAAAATTAGCTACGATTAAGTTCCTCATATCTTCAATTAAAAATTACTATCATTGTTTTCAAGGAATTTTGATTCCATTCATCATTTGGCGCGCTTTTATCATTATCCAACCTTCGAAAGTAGTATGTTAAAATTTAATATTTCACATCTAATACTTTTCACCTATAAAATTGCCCACAGATATAACATGATTCTTTGCTTACTAATATACTTTAACATATTTTGAAATGAAGCCCAATTTATCGGGCCGTTTTCGAGAAAAAGTCATTTTTGTAATCAGAAATGGCAGGTTTCCTACTTGTACATTCATAAATTGCAAAATGATAGAGAGCACATAGGTATTATACTATTTTAAGCTTATTCACGATATTTACATAGCTTGTTGACAAGATATTGACAAATTTTCTATGATCTACACTCATGAACAGGAAACGAACAAAACTTCGCAGCAGATTTGCTAAATCTACTATTTTTAAATGTCAACACACAAATACATGATAAGCTCTCGGTTATTTAACAAATTTTTTCTTTTTATCTATCATCTTGTACTAATATGTTACATTTTTTGTTTTCCTATGAATAAAAATACCCTTAGCTTAACTTCTTTTAAAGGAATATCATTTCGATACCTCAATATTTTACATTAACCATTATTCATTAAAATAATTCAATAATTTTAATATATATTATAATTTGATAGTTTAGTGATGATTAATATACTCTATATTTCTTTTTAAATTTTTGAAACAAATATAATTGAAAATTTGCTCTTGGTTTTGATGCCAGAATGCAAACATTCTCATTTAAATCAATTATAAAACATCTTTATAATTCCAAAATTTTTCCATTTTTCATTTTTTGAAGTTACAATTATATTTTTGTTCTAGATTTTTATTTTTTCGAATTTTTTTTGGAAATTCCTTTATGAATTTGAGCAGAAACAAATGTATTCACATAATCCATTAGATGATATTACTCGGTTTTTATAATTTGGAGATCATACATATATATTTTTGGTTCAATTCCAATTCGTATCTTATCAATATAACTATTTGTAATAGAATATGGTGTTAAAATACGTTCTTTATGTTGAATATTTCAATCTTGTTCAACAATATTATAAGAATAATCAAAAATCAACTAAATCAAATTTCCAAAGTTACGAATTATGATATTTTTTACAGTTGTGAAGAAACACACAACTACACAAACTCTAACTTGCGTGTGTTGTACCAAAATATTCATGTTATCTAATGACAATAAAAGAATATATTCTAATTTTTCTGAAAAATATGTAATGTTCAAAATTTAAACCGTGAACACATTTCACATCTCAAAAGAATATATTTAGTGAGCAAGAGATTGAATATAATTTTTAATAATAATATCTCAAAATCGGCCCGATAACTTTCATGCGATACTTCGCACATCAAATATCCATCCCCTATATAGTAAGTATCCATAGCCAAAATCAAAAATTATTGGTAAAAATTTTGCTGGTCTACCTTTGCTGTTATCTATGAAAATCATTCAAATTGAAATAAATTACAAAAATTCAATTAATTTTATTTATCATATGTCTAAATTCTGCATATTTATATAAATTCCAAAAGGGAGGGAACTCGCCCGTTTGAATGTATCGGAACTTCTAACTATTACCAATAGATAGTATATCAATAGCCTACTAAATATGCAGAATTTAGACATCGTTAAGTTATATTTATCGTTTATGATAAATACGTATTTAATTAACAGTAATTATAAAATAAGGGTTTCGTTTTGCGAAAAAAACGTACAATACGCAATTTCGCTAAAAAAACATTTAGCTAGCAATTTCGACCTTTGACTCCACTCAAGACGTCACTTTTTTAATTTTGCGGTATCATATTTTTGGAAAATCTTTATGAATATTATATAAAAAGTCTCTTTAATATCTATATTTCATATTTTTATCGATTTTTAAAGTTTTTGCGAAAAGTATTCAATTATTTTTGCTATTTGGTCGGGTAAATGTTAGATTTGCGACATTTTCTGATATGATATTCAGATTCTACGTTGATAATAATGCTTATAGAACCCTCTTGCTATTGTGTCAAAATTGCGAAACCGATAGCAAAAATATCTCGCAATATCAAAATTGAGATATTGAGTGAATTATGCATTATAGAGATTAAAAATCTGATTTGTGAAATCATCTCATCAGTTTCTAGCTAATTCAAAAATCTTTACTATCTTATTCGATTAAAATGAAAAGGGAACAGTTTCATTATGCTTTAAATGACAGCCTTATAATATAATCATAGTTTTCGCTCAATATGCAGCATTTTTTTTTCGAAATCTATGGTCAATGTCCTAAATACTGATTGCTTTGCATTCATATCTCTTACATTTTCTATACCCACATCACTATTCATTGCTATTCCTATCTTTTTCATTTTTGTTTGTTTCTCATAATTTCTCAAAAAACATGATAACTTGATATTTGTAAATATCATACTTTATAACGTAAATAAGAACTTGACCTATTAAGAAAAGCAGTAATGAAAAGAAAATCTGAAATTCATAAAAATTACAAGTTTCTGATGACAATTAGCTTAATTAAACCAGGTACAAGATTATATAATTGTATTTTTTATCCAATTATCCATATAATATCTTATCCAGAAAAAATAACTTGATCAATACCAAATGATTTTTTAACTAGTAAATAAAGTATTTTCTTTACACACACATTGTATATCATAGTTTTTTTTTGGTTTCGCAAAACATCCAAAAACAAATATGCTATAAAAGTGACAATTTTAGCAAAACGAAACCCTTATATAAAAGAAATAGAAGTCAGAAGTATTGAATATAATAGTATATCAAGTATATGTCATTATGTCATGAACAAATGCTTTGCAATTCAATTTTCTTGCATTTTCAGAGAACAAAAATCTTTTTATAGGCAAAGAATGATTTCAGAATCAAACTATGTTTACTAGTCTTTAATAATAGTCCTTGAAATTGAATTTTTGAATTTCAATTTAGTGGATGAATAGTATTTTCCTTTTATCAGTTCATACCCAGAAATAATTTACAATAATATTCACTTTACACCATATAAGATCCATTACAATTGCCAAAATCTATCATTATAATATTAAAAACATTGAGGCTATAATTTTGGCATACACCCTTCACAACATGGATTATATAAGTCGAATTTTTCCAAAAAAAAAATAATTACTGAGCAAATTGTATATTTACCATAAATTATCTTGGTCATTTGATTAAGTTTATGACAATATAACGCTCAATAGTGCTAATATAGTATTTTGAACTTGTTGAAAATGTTTTTATGCATAAATAAATTTTTATAATTCCAAATTCTAAATAATAAACAATATTTATCTACATAGGGTGCTATTTTGAGAAAATATATTATTATAATCAAACTTTGTAGAATTATTATTCCTTAATATAGGGATATTATTTTCAGGAAATATCAAATATCGATAATCAAAGTTAATACTTATCCTTTTCTATCTATTTATATGCATTATTCAATATATAAACAGGTAGATATTGAAGTATTATATGAAATTTGATCTAATGATCCAGAAAATTATGAGGCAATATATGTGTACAACTGCATTATTAAGGTGCTCTATGGATGAATATTAAATGTTGAAACAAGCTTTGCTTAGATATGATGGTTAGAGTTGATACACCTCTAAAATGTCAATTCATGAATCGATCTTTATATCAAATGTACAACTGTATTCCCTGAATGGTAGTCTCACGAAGTATTGAAATAAATAATTATAACATTTAAACATCAAAAGCAAGCTCTGCGTAGTTAAATCCTCGTTTGTTGCGTGGTGAAGAAGGGGCAGTTCTCATTGCCACATTTTGAAAAGGAGATCTATAAGGACCTCGTGCAGTTTGAGGAATTCTTGAAGATTTAGCAGTTTCTAAGTATCTTCTCTTGGTTGCATTCTTATATAAATCCGGGAATACAGAACCAAGATAATATCCCTTAGAGTTATTAAAGCTATTCCTAGGGTTCCTGCTTCGAGGAGTAGAAGGAGGTTTTGGAGGTACAATTTTTTGTTGATCAAATTTTAGGAGAAATTCTTGTTGAGGGCCGACAATACTCCCTTGCCTGCATATCCTTATCCAAGCTATTGCTTCGCGTGGAGTAAAATCGAACTTTCTGATCAAATAACACGCTGCTAAGGTGCCGGTGCGCCCAAGTCCTGCTTTGCAATGGAGAGCAACTATTTCTGAGTCATCACTCATCAAGTCAAAGAACTTTTCAATGATATTCTTTGGAGGAACCGTTCCATCATCGAAATATAATTCATTATGAATAAACCCTGCATCTTTAAATATCTGAGAATCGTAAAATTGCTTATTAAGTCTAATTATTCGATGAACACCTAATTGTTCAAACTTAGGAATGGCCGTTTCCGGTGTAACAACGTTAATTCCGCCAGAAATCGGAGAGTGGCTGTATGGGGTTGCACATGCAATAAGTCGCTTTGGTATTATCCAGCTCATATCACCTTCGGAAATTTCTTTCATTCTTTGAAATTCAACTGAATCAAAATCGTTAATATTAAGCCACTTAAGAGAAACAGCTTTGAATAGACCACAGAGTACATCTAAGTGAGTTAGATCAAATGTAGATGGTAGCATTGATGCATCTCTAAAAGGATAAAATTTATATGTAATATATTTGTATGGTTCAATAGTTTGTTGGGGAGTAAGACGCAAGTGAAACATTCTAAAAGCCATGATATACATAAAGGCATTAGATCTTAATTGAATATTTGGGCAAGTATAAAAATGTAAAACTTCTTGATGTTTTTCGAGCAAATTTTCAACATATCTAATGAACTCGACGATTTGAACCAATGAAGGTGGACCAAAATCCTCATATATAGGTATGTACTGAAATTCTTGAATATCATCAATCGTAAAGTAGAAATATTTGCCTATATTTCTTGGTTCTAGTTCTAGAATTGAAAATTCGAGTCTGTCTTCAATAATTGGTATCATCTGTATGATTTTTTTGTTGATCATTTTCCTCAAAAAAATGATGTTAAAATTGTAACGAAATTGAATTAAATTTTGTTTCTTTTATTTTAAACATATGTGTAGTTTAAAAAAAATGAAAATAAAATTATAAAAATTAAATTTGTCATGTAAACTGAACTGTCAAAAATACCCAAAATGAAATATTTCATATAATTTGTGAGTTGAGCTTGCAATAGTGTTGCTTTATGTTTTCTATTCGAAAACAAAAATTTGAATCTCGAAAAATCATATCACTTTTCATTATAAGTGACAAAAATGCAAGAATTCGATATTAAAGGGAAGCAAATAGAGCAATTACAAAGATTTATTGAAGCAAAGCATAACAACGAGCGAATAATTGATTACCTGCGAAAGCTATTTGATGATCCATATAGAAAATCAAGAATCCTTTATTTTCTTACGGATGGGAAGTTATCCAATAGGATTCAAGATTTAAATGGCATAAAAATGACAATATTTTATGGATTTATGTTAAAGCTTAACTTATGTAAGAATAATGAAGAAAATTCGGAAGAATTCAATCAAATTATGTATCTACTTAAAAGCAAAGACATAACATTGTCAATCGATGAAGTAATGTCATACCTTTCCAACAAAAACCTACTGACACAGCAAGTAAAAAGGCAAATTTACAATTTTCAAAATCTTGGAATTAACTTTTGGAGAACTAAAGATCTCTTTTTGCATATATCTACAACTCCTAGTGTTTATGGTCGGAATCTTCCATCAATAGCCGGATATGTTATCGTTGATTACTGTGCAGCCAATCGATTATGTAGTGGCCAATCACCTGAAGATGCAAAAATCATCAACTCGTCGTACATTACTGATGACAAGTCAAGAAAGATGCCTTGCAATAAATCCAGGCAACAAGCTGAATTAAGACTTAAAATCAAACTTGATGATGCAGAAGACGATGCTACTACAATCGATATCAAACTTTCTAATTGTCGACAAGCAATTTACTACGCAATAAACCAAGGATTCCAAAATGCAAACTCATCAATCCCTCTTCTTAGAGAAATGGGATATATTTATGGCACTGATGCTGGAATAGCTGCAAAATTGGCCGCAAAATCAAAATCTGTTGCAGATAGGATCTTGGAAAAGCTCAGAGAAAGATTTGTTGAATTATCCCTCCTGAAGTGGCAATCAACCCCTTCAATCGCTTCAAAATTCAATGAGAATATTCCTAAATTATATAATCAGTACAAAACAATCAAAATTTCCAAATTTATTGAAGAAAAAATTTCAGAAATTTCTGAGATGCAGTTTGAACGCATGAAATATGATGTGTCAGCTATTCCTGCTCTTTCTTCGATCTCACAACAGCTCAAAACTTCGGCCGCAAAAATAATCGGAATTTTAAGAACAGAAGGAACGCATCAGGTCAGTTTGCCTCTCGCCCATGCTTGTATTTCATCTGTAATGCTCTTAAATCAGTTATCCAAGTTAAATACAATTCAAAATGGCAATTATAGCGCATTAGCTCTTGCATCATCATTGGGAATTACTGACAGTGAATCTAATTTGTTCCAACAGTTTATTTGCATATTCACCAAGACTCTCAAGCTGTTTTCACCAAATTCTTCTGATTTTGATGAAACAATCGAAGAGAACATTCGAGAGATTTCAGGAATATGCAGAATGTCACTTGAAGAAACCGCAACCCTCATAGCTTATGGCAGAATCTTCCGGAGAGCATTGAAAAATTTCAATTCTTCCAATAATCAGCCAGATTCTTCTATCCTATTCGCAAATATAGAAAACAACACACTCAGCTTTGTTTTCAATGGCAGAGAAAGATATAACGCAATAATTCCTTTGAATTCAATCAAATAACTGAATTTCTTTTTGTTAATGTATTATTACTTATAAATATTTATATAGAATTCTGTATTATTTGGTATTTTTTTGAGATTAGAAAAAAAAAGTTTAAATTGAGAAGATGAATTGTTTAATCGGAATCATCATCCTCTTCTTCGTTAAATCTGCCTTGTGGCGGTGGCTGATCTGGCTCTGGTTTCTTCTTCTGCTTAATTGTAACTTGGATTGAAGTAAGTGGAACTTTGAACTGTGTTTTGAGAATATCCTTGAGTGGTTGTTGAGCATCACCTTGAACAATGATCTGTGTCATGCCATCTTTCTTCTTTGTAGAGCAGGATGTTGACATCTTCTTGCTGATAGCCTTTGTTAATTCTTTCAAGTCAAGACCCCATGGCTCGATCATGGAAACTGTTGTAAGGAACTTTCTAGCTCTGCGATTCTTGACAATGATCTGAATCTTTGGAAGGTCTTTTGGATCCTTGGCAGCACCCTTCTTGGCATTCTTTCCGCCCTTGGCTGGAGCCTTCTTATCTTCAGCTTCGGCTTCAGCGTCTTCTCCTTCGGCTTCGCCTTCACCGCCTTCTCCGTGGAGTTTGAAGAAACGGCAATAGCAAAGTGGAACATCGCACTTAGGGCAATATTCAACTGTGGCCTTTTGAAGAACAGGAACCTCCTTAACTTCCTCTTCGGCCATTTAAATAATTGACGCTGCTTGTCAGTTTTTCGAAAAGTGGTATTTCGTTTGAAATTCGCTATTCTCTGGGTAAATAAATATCTCAGAGGAAAATGGTGCTAAAATAATACATTTTCCAAGCCTATCTCCTTCTCACTTTCAATTTCGTAAAAGTGGCACCAGAGTATATTGTTTCAACTCTATCTGACCGTCGGAATAGATCTGATTTATAAACTTGGTATGGAACAGTTGTACACTAAGGGGTTAAGAATAAAAATATTGCAATAATACAATTACTCTATGTTCAACTGTTCATATCTGGCTTTAAAGCTAATACCTGTATTTTTTTCGAAATAGTTCAAAAGTAGTAACGTTACAAATTGCAAATGACAACCAAATATCTCTTTCGATGTAATAAATATAAATCAATATCCATGCAACAGATCGGCTAGGTATTCAAATATAATATTATGTATATTACTAAGGAATAATATATTTAATATCATAGAATATCTTTCGTTTGATTTTGAGATACAGTTCTTATATTGCTCATTTTTGGCAATGATCACTAAATGATCAAAAACCAACAATGTGGAATTGGGGGATGTTAGTTTAGACTCATTTTATTCAGATTTTCTCTTGAAATAATTTAGTATTTTTAGAACCTGAACTTACTATCGAATAAAATGATCAATGTATTGATTATTTTCTAGATATTTTACTATAAAATTTAAACATTTCTAACAAATCATCAATATTAGAAAGAATCATAGACAAATCATAAACAAAACTTAATCAGTGAGATAATCTTGTAGATAATATTTGATATAAAGCTATAGATTGTTTAAGATTTTATGAATATTTATTTCTTATCTTTATGATATTAAATTTTTAAATTATTTTTTTATATATATTGATATGTTTAATTATAAAATTTGTAGTTTAACAAAAATAAAATGCATTCACTGTTTTAATATTCAACAAAATTGCGTCAATTTCTCTAAATTTTGAAATCATTAAAAAATTAACCTCATTTTTCCAAAAAAAATCGAGGATTGTAAAAACCAATTTCATTTTCACGAATTTAGCATAGGCAATTTTCTAAATCAAAAAAATTTGGAAAAACTCATCATGGAGGATTTCATTCCAGCGATCAAATGCAACAACACCCAGTCGAAAAAGGCTCGAATAATTTATATTTTGATTTCGATTTTAATCAATCACTTAGTTCAGATTGTATACAGCTAACAATTTTACATGTTATGAGATTCTAATATATTTACACTTACGGTTAAAGAGTTTTTGAAAATTTTTCTAAATATCATGCAATTCAACAGTATTATTATTATAATACTCAGAGAATAGGGCCATGATCTTATTATTAGAAGGAACACATAAAGAAATCGAAGATTCAACAATCTCTTACCCAAATTCATAAAATAATTTGATTTGAAGATCCTTACTCAGGCATATTTTCTGTGATTTTGGAGAAAACAAACTGAAAAAGGATTTCTACAAAAAATACCTTATTGCAGCGTAATAAATAAACAATTTGCTTTTTTATTATATAATTTCGCTCTTCTTGAGCTATATCATTCATTTCATTTTCTGAACACAATCAAATAACTTCATTTTCAAGTACGACATGTATATTTTATAAAATCAATTTCTATATCCTGATGTGAAACGAAAGCCATTCTATGCTCTCATACATGTTATTACAATGCACCACATACTGAGTTTAATAGAACAATTTTGGTCGATATCTTTGTTGTGAATGCTGTTTACCCGCTTTTCCCCAGTACAAATATGATTCCCCCTCTAAATCTAGATTTTGAAAATTTTGAAATGGGAGACACAGAAGAGCACCAACCATCATTTCTTTGTGATATTTGTGGTGCAAAGTTTCTAACACAAGAAACTCTGAAAGCTCACATTGATTCATCCCATAATAAACAACGTCTTTATACTTGCCCTGAATGCAATCGCACATTCAATAGGCTTTATCATCTAAAAAGACATGTTTTGATCCATGCAAATGGCCAGGAGTTGCTTGAATCAATTACACCAGATACAAATGAAGTTTGCAAATATTGCGGAAAAGTTTTTCCAAAGCGTTACCAGTTAAAAGCTCACATAGCAGAAGAACATGAAACAGAACCTATTTACGAATGCAGCGTCTGCAAAGCTAAATTCAAAACAAATCACATCTTGAAACAACATTTTAAGAAGTTCCATTCTGACGAAAAGAAGAAATCTTATAAATGTGAACACTGTGGTGCCGAATTTGACCTAATGTCACAGCTTGTTACACATAAACATGAGCAACATCCAAGGCCATACATTTGCAATGAATGTGGAGCTCAATTTAAGCGCAAATCAAACTTAACGGAACATATGAAGAGGCATCAACAGCCATTTACTGAAAGAAAAACTTTCATTTGCCCTGTGGAAGGTTGTGGAAAGGCTTTTACAAGGAAAAGTAACCTACGAACACATATGTCTTCTATACATGGCGGTGTTCTGCCGCACGCTTGCACTTTATGCGGAAAAGATTTCTTATATCCATCCCAGCTGCAGAAACACATGGAATCAGCTCATTCTGAAAACCATGAAGAAATACTAGACTTAGGAGAAGAATTTTTCGATTCAATACAGAAGGATTTGCAAAATAAATAAAATAATGTTTGTATTTTTATAACTATGAATACTATTTTTAACTGCTCAAGCTAGAAATAACAGTAAACTGAACAATACAAGAAAATCAGAAAACCAAGATTTTTTCCCTCCTGAATTTAGGGTTAAAAGATCATTGGAATCTATTTTGAACTTACAAATGCATGATATAATAATATATCTGCCATTGTATATCATAATTCATAACCAATATCCATGAAAATAAAAAATGATCAGTTCAAATTTCATTTATAATGATTCTAAACATAAATGATCCTAATTGGAAGTGCAATAGATGAACAGAAACCATTTAATAAGTAAATGAACTAGATGTAATTAAAATTGAAACAAATCTCTAATATACGACTTTTTTCAAAATTTTTTTTGAATAAAATATTTCAATTTTGTTGTGCATGAAAATTCGGTTCACTTCACTTCTGACAAAAGTGACAAGTTTACATGGCAAAAATAGTTTACATGGCAAAAATATATAGGGTATTTTTTTTTAAAAGTAGTTATCTTTATATATAAAAATAAAACTTTTGATATATTTGAGTAAATGATTTATTAATTTATTTATTTATTTTTTTTAAATCAAATCATATAAATATATATATATATATAATAGTGAAATAGAACAAGAGATAATTATTGATGATTAAATTGTAGACGAGGATAAAAGTTTAGATAAATTAATAAAATTAGTGTGGAATCAGACAAATTTCGGGTTGTTTGGGAAGGAATTGTTGGCTATTATGTACTGATTCATGATCAGTACATCATAGCCAACAATTCCTTATACAAAGTTCAAAACTTGGGTGCAATCAGTTCTGATTGCACCCAAGTTTTTGAACTTTCTCGAGGGAATGGAAGGGTAAGAGGTATATATTCATAATGTATACCTCTTACCCTTCCATTCCCTCTCTGACAGCGGGAAACTTTGTCTGAATGTTAAACTATTCAGACAAAGTTTCCCGCTGTTTGCGAAGGAATTGTTGGCTATGATGTACTGATTCATGATCAGTACATCATAGCCAACAATTCCTTATACAAAGTTCAAAAACTTGGGTGCAATCAGTTCTGATTGCACCCAAGTTTTTGAACTTTCCATTAACAATTGTTCAATCACATTTATACAACCCAAATCTATACCAATCATACTCTTATTCATACATCATATTTTAAAAACTTTTTTGCAATATGATATATGTAAAGTGTCAAAAATGAATTGAACCGAATTTTCATGCATTACATTTTAAATTGTAACTCATTATATGGTATATTTAAAAACTAAAAATTTATATATAACAAAACTTTATACCAGGGCATATAGTGTAATATAGTTAGTTAATAAATTGGAAGCTTCCATATAAAGTTGAGAGAATGTCAAAATAATTTTTGATCATTATATTAACATCTCGCTATATCATAAATCAAATGAATATCTGATAAGAGAGTAAGAAACCTTATATTATCCAATCCATTTTAACATACTTTTATATACATATGTATTAATTAAACATTAGAATGGAGCATCGTCTTGGAATTTTTAAATTATTTTGATCTGATCTATTATGAATATGAATAACTTCGCTATCTGATAATATCATGCAACTATACTATCAACAGTAATATCAATAATGTCAGTCTGTTCGATATTAACTATTTCTATATTGTAATCAAATTGAAATATTTTGTAATGCATGAAAATTCGGTTCAATTCATTTTTGACACTTTACATATATCATATTGCAAAAAAGTTTTTAAAATATGATGTATGAATAAGAGTATGATTGGTATAGATTTGGGTTGTATAAATGTGATTGAACAATTGTTAATGGAAAGTTCAAAAACTTGGGTGCAATCAGAACTGATTGCACCCAAGTTTTTGAACTTTGTATAAGGAATTGTTGGCTATGATGTACTGATCATGAATCAGTACATCATAGCCAACAATTCCTTCGCAAACAGCGGGAAACTTTGTCTGAATAGTTTAACATTCAGACAAAGTTTCCCGCTGTCAGAGAGGGAATGGAAGGGTAAGAGGTATACATTATGAATATATACCTCTTACCCTTCCATTCCCTCGAGAAAGTTCAAAAACTTGGGTGCAATCAGAACTGATTGCACCCAAGTTTTTGAACTTTGTATAAGGAATTGTTGGCTATGATGTACTGATCATGAATCAGTACATAATAGCCAACAATTCCTTCCCAAACAACCCGAAATTTGTCTGATTCCACACTAATTTTATTAATTTATCTAAACTTTTATCCTCGTCTACAATTTAATCATCAATAATTATCTCTTGTTCTATTTCACTATTATATATATATATATATTTATATGATTTGATTTAAAAAAAATAAATAAATAAATTAATAAATCATTTACTCAAATATATCAAAAGTTTTATTTTTATATATAAAGATAACTACTTTTAAAAAAAAATACCCTATATATTTTTGCCATGTAAACTATTTTTGCCATGTAAACTTGTCACTTTTGTCAGAAGTGAAGTGAACCGAATTTTCATGCACAACAGAAATGTAGGAAATCATTTATACTTTATTAAGTATATTTAATAAGATATTAATTAGATATTGTTTCGATTCTTCAAAGAAAGATGAAGAATCGATATTTAGGCAAATCTAATTGTTTAAGTTAAATCATATCAGAAGTTTTCTAATGAGATTCCAACAATCCATTACTTAATGAGATCTATGAATTACATTATAACATTCCATTGTATAAAATTGTATAATATTTGGAAGAGATATTATTGATTACATACATTTTATCTCTTCCAAAAACTATAAAGGAAAAAAATTTGTTTGCAATTTAGATATAAAACATCAAATGGATATAAAAACTTTATTCATCAAAATCATCATCAAAATCTTTTTCGTCCGCATTCTTATCATCATTAACATTATTATCATGCTCTTCTGACTCAAAATCATCATCTTTCTTTTCATCTTCTTCCTTTCCAATCAACTGATTCATTAAAGATGGAGATTCATTTTCTTTCTTTGTTTCATTCTCTTTTGGTTTCAAAGCATCAGAAACAGCTCCAAACAAACCTTTATTTTCTTGTTTTTCATCTTCAAAGTCATCGAAATCATCTTTTGTTGTGTTTTCCTTTGGTTTCTCTTCTTCTAAATTATCTTTAATAGATGAGAATAGTCCTTGTGGTTTTTGTTCTTCTTTGTTTTCATCTTCGAAATCATCGTTTTCTTCAAAATCATTTTCATTTTCTGTTTTTGTTTCTTCTTGTTTCTGATCTCCAATATCATCAGTTTTATCTTTAATGGATGAGAACAATCCTTTTGGTTCTTCTTGTTTTTCATCATTATTTTCTTCAAAATCATTTTCATTTTCTTTGTTTTCTTCTTTATTTTGTTCTTCGAAGTCATCAGCTTTATCTTTAATAGATGAGAACAATCCTTTTGTTTCTTCTTGTTTTTCTGATTCGAAATCATCAGCTTTCTCTTGTGTTTCTTCTTGTTTTTTATTGTTTTCTTCATCTTCAAAATCATCTTCTTTATTTTGTTCTTCTAAGTCATCAGCTTTATCTTTAATTGAAGGAAACAAACCTTTTGTCTCTTCTTTATTTTGATCATCGAAATCATCAGCTTTCTCTTGTGCTTCTTCTTTATTTTCTTCTTGTTTTTGGTCTTCGAAATCATTATCTTTATCTTTTGTTTCTTCTTTATTTTCTGATTCAAAATCGTCATCATTTTGATTTGTTTCTTGTTTTTGTTCTTCGATATTTGCTTTTTCTTTGATTTCAGCTGAGATACTTTCTGTTCTTGTTTGTTCTTCTGATTCGAAATCATCATCCTTTTCATTATTTTCAGCCGAATTGTTTTCGATTTTCTCATTAACAGATGTATTTTCTGTTTTTTCTTCATTTTTATCATCTTTTTCTTCGATGTCATCAACTTTGTCTTTCACAGCTGAGAAGAGACTTTCATTCTTTTCATCTTCTTTGCCATCTTCTGTTTCAAAATCATCTGATTTTTTGGTGTCACTTTTTACTTCCTTTTTGTCACTTTTTGTTTCACTTTCGAAGTCATTTTCTTCTTTCTTTTCTTCGCTTTGATTGGTTTGTTCTTCATCATGCTTTTCTTCGCTTTCAAAATCATTTTTGTCACTTTTTTCACTTTCGAAATCTTTATCATCTTTCTTTTCTTCGCTTTCGAAGTCTTTTTCGGTATTTTGCTGTTCCTGAGGTGTATTATTTGGCTTTTCTTCGTTTTCGAAAGAATCTTCGAAGGAATCTTTGGTTTCTTCTTTCTTAACTTCGGTATTTTGCGGTTCTTGTGGCTTAGGCTTTGTTTTTGGTCTCGATTCCTTCTTTTCGCTTGGTGGTTTTGGCTCATAAAGTTTTTCATCGAAATCATCATCAAGAAAAGATGTCAAACCTGGTCTATAAAGCCTTGGAGCTCTTCTATGAGTCTGATATGTCTGTTTTGGCTGCTTAACTTTCTCTTTCTTCTCTTCATAATCTTTAATTATGGCTTCCAATTCTTTTTGCCTTGCAGCTTGTTGCTGAGCGATTTGTTCTTTCTCTTTACGTTCTTTTTCTTCTTTTTCTTTCTGTTGAATTCTTTTCTGTCTAATCTGTTCTTTTTTATCGTTTTTAAGTAACTCTTTAGCGCGCTTTTGTTTCTTCTCACGTCTTTCATCTCTTTCTTTGGCTTTTTGGTCATTTTCTTGTTGAATTTCTTCATCAGATTTTGGAAATATTTCTTTTCGAAGCTGTTGTATGTCAACAAGTTCACTTTCAGGCATTTCAAGGTCAATCATGCGATTATTAAAGTCCTCAAGAATGCTTAGAAGTAATTGTAAGTATAATGGATGTTTTTCGTATCTCGTTTGCTCTTTGAAGTGAGCAAAATGTATTTTACACTTGATGTCAACGAGATTTTGCATCTTTGCCCTCTCTTCCGACGCTTCTTGTGTCTTAGAAGGAGTAACGGCCGGAGCTGAGTCCAAAGCGACTTTAATATCGGACAATTTCTGTCGTAATGCTTTGCTCTTCTTCTGTACCCATACAGAGTAAAACTCTTTTTCTCTGTTCCTTTGATATGAAGGATGAATTACGGCTGCAGCAACTTGCATCGCGACTTGGTCATCTGCGTTTTTTGCATTCATATCCTTTTCTTCCATTTTCTGTATCTGTATTAAAAAATCGGCTTTTTCTTTCTGTAAATTTGCGATAAATGCTGGATTTAATTTGTCTTTGAGTTCGCTAAGAATTGCTTCCTTTTGTGCAATTTCTGCCTCGAGAGATTGTAATTGATGTCGTAATTCTGTAGCTTCGCCAATACCTTCCGTTTTTCCATCTACAAATTCTGCCAGAGCTGCTGAATATCCTTCAACTTCTGCCATTTTTTCCTTCTGTTGCTGCATTTCTCGTTGCAATTCGCTGTTTTCTTGACAGGCTTTTCGATAATCTATTAAAGCTTTTCTGTATTCATCTCTTAAAAACTCCTGCTCTCTAAGTGGATCACTCCCTCGAAAGTAGAAGATTTGTTTTTGATAATTAGGAAGCCTCTTGCCTTGGGAACGAGCTTCCAACGACATTTAAATCTGTTAGTAAAATTAAAAACGCAAATTGCATAACGATAAAAATCCCCTCAAAAAATGCGGTATAAATTTTCATAAGATTTTACTTCAAGGAAAAGTAATTAGACTAATTTTGATCTGAATATACCATTTTTGGATCATAGTAGTGAAGTATATTTTGCAAAACATTAGAAATTACATCAAAATTAAGTAAATCACAATATGAATTTCATTTCTCATTAAAATATATTAACGAGTATGCTATATTTAGCTCAATATAAAGAGATATATTTAGTTTTATAACAAAAAGTCTTAAATAATGATAAGTATATTAATCTAAAGAAATTTTGCTTGAATCTGAATTAAGATCAGTGCTTGGAAAGAAATAGAATTGGACAGAAACATTTAGATCGATTTCATTTACTATAATTGATCTGTGTATATTATTTTCAATGAATTTTAGATAAATAGTTTCATATATATTAAAAGAATATTTAATCAACATAAATCGCATCAATCTCAGTTATATTGCTGATGTCTAAGTTACTTAAGCTAGATTATTCTTGAGAAAGTTTAAATGAAGAAATACATTGAAAATATCAGTTTATATGATATGGAATTACACCAAAATGATTTATCATATCACAGATATAACTAATTCACAAATGTTTTGAAAGGTTGAAGCAATATGTGGATGAAAATATCAGGGAAAGGAGGTTTCTTTATTTCCCTATCTATCTAATCTCTCTTTTGCAGCATTCAAAACTTATATATGAAATTGTTTAACATAATTAATGGTCTTGCACGTTAGCACCGAAGAACTATTGTTTCCATAAAAAAAATTCACTTGGCCAAACAAAAATTTAAAAAATCAAAGTGTAATAGGATATAAGTAAATTTTAAATTCCTTTACACGGAAGTAAAACCGTTTTATTTGAAATAATTTCTTCAGCACTTTTCGATATTTGATAAAGCTCATAGAAAAGATTCGTTAATTTATATTATTAATGAACCGTCAACAAGCTGATCCCGGCTTTGTTCTTAATTTCTTCACAGAAGAACTTAGGAGCGATAATGTACACCATAGACTTTTTGCAGCATCTAATATAAGTCTCGTTGCTGCTGCTATGGGCCCAGAGCACGCAAGAACTGAACTCATGCAATTTCTCCTTTCAGCCAATCAGTTGGACGGTGAAGTTCAAATGAGCTTAGCTCAGTGCCTTGGTTCTCTTGTTAAATATGTCGGCGGACCAGAATATGCAAATGTTCTTCTTGGCCCACTTAAAGTTTTAGCATCTGCTGAAGAATCTGTTGTTAGAGATAAGGCTATTGAGTCAATGAACATCGTCTGCAACAGTATCCCAGCAGCACAAGCCGATGTTTCTTTAATGCAGACTGCACGCGATTTATCCACAGCTGAATTCTTCACATCCCGCTCATCCGCCTGCGCTTTCATTGTTGCAATTTACGAAAAGGTTAACGAAGCAAACAAGAGCAATCTTCGTCAAATTTACAAATCTCTCGTCAAAGATGAAACACCAATGGTACGTCGTAGTGCTCTTAAAAATCTTCCAAAGCTTTGCGAGGCACTCCCAGCCAATATTATCATTTCTGACATTGCCAAGGATATTTTAATGAGTTCCGCAAATGATGACGAAGATTCCGTACGTCTTCTTCTTCCACCATCCCTCTCTATCATTTCCGAAAAATTGAACGATCAGGATAGAATTAATCTTATTATTGCTTTATCTAAGAACCTCGTCAAGGATGGAAGCTGGCGTGTTAGATCCGCATTCGCCAAGGAATTCCCTGCTATCGCTAAGCCATTCAGCGTTGAAGTTCTTACTACAGAATTATGTCCATTATTATTCCGTCTCCTTCGTGATCCGGAAGCTGAAACAAAGACAGCCGCCTGCCAGACAGTATCCGGAATTTTACCATACATCGCTAAGGAGCAGACATTTGTTGCAGAAAAATTAATCCCAGAACTTAAGCCACTTACAAACGATGGCGCTCCACAGGTCCGCCGTGAAGTTGCTCTCCACCTCATGGAGCTCGCACCGATCATCGGAAATCACAACACCAGCCTTTCTATCATCCCATTATTCCTTCAAATTCTTATTGATACAGATAACGAAGCATCAGTCGCTCTCCTCAACAGCTTGCTTACCCACGTTGATGAAGTCGATCTTGCTTCAATTACACCAGCAATTCTCCCAACAATTCTCGAAATTGCAGGTGATACCCACTGGCGTGTCAAAGTTGTCATCATCCAGCTTATCCCACACTTCGCAAAGGTCCTCGGCGTTGAAGAATTCGGCAAACAAGTTTTCCAATTAGTCCAAACTTGGCTTTCCGACCTCTTCTTCTCCGTCAGAGATGAAATGACCAAACAACTCGGCCCACTTGTTACAGTCTTAGGCCAGGACTGGTGCACACAAACACTTACCCCTGTCATTCTTGCTCTCAAACTCGATAAGAACTACTTGATCAGACAGGTCACCCTCCTTTCCGTCATGCAACTCAAGAACTCTCTTCAGCCTGCTGTGTTCGTCAAACAATTCCTTCCAACAGTTCTTTACATGGCTACAGATAGAGTCGCCAACGTAAGAGTACTCGTTTCTAAGGCTCTCCTCTTGTTCATTGGTATTGGTGAACAAAAGGTTCAGCAGCAATTACAGACAATCCTTAAGCAACTTTCAAATGATAACGACTCTGATGTCAAATACTTCGCCTGCATGGCCCTCCTCAAGTGCCAGTAAAATTGTTTCATTTTACAGATTCATTTTTTTACAGAGAAGCAAATTAAACAATTTGGATTATCATGCAAAAAAAATTCTTATGATTTTTGATAATTTACGTTTTAAAAAAGTGTGTAATTGTGTTAGCTTGTGGATATTTGGAAGTATTTTTGTTTTTGTCAAAGATGTAAAAGTGACAAATATCTTTTTGAAATTTATTTGAAATAATGTTGTTTATGCTATTTTTATGAAATAATTTAATTCTGAGTTTTCACAAATTTTTGTCACCTTTTTGAAATTTTCTAGATTTATAATATACTATAAATATAAATAATGATTTTTGGTTTTCATAATTTTTCTTGTTGTGTCAATTTTCATTATGAGTGAGTTTTTATTATCTCTTCGAAACAGAGATGATTCACAAAAGAACCCGCTCGAAGATGATTTATTTGTTCTTTCAAGCAAATATATGAAATTAAAGTCCGAAAACCAATCACTTCAGCAACAAAAACAAGAATTACAAGATAAATACAAAAGTTTAGAAAAAGGTGATGCTACTGTAGGTGAAACAGACATTAACGAATTGAAGTCAAAGCTTATTTCACTATATAGAGAAAAGGAAGCTTTAAGTACCAATTATAAGCAAATTTTAGATCAAAAGAACCAAAAGTTAATGGACAAGAAGTTAGCAGATGAAGATATTGCTCATCTTCAATCTAAAAAGAAGCAAATTGAAGAAGAAATTCAAAATAATTTTAATACCAAAAACACTTTAGAAAAAGAAGTTAAGAGTGTCGATGATGAGCTTGCAGCAATCTTGAAAGACCAAGAAAAAATTCAAGTCGAAATTGCAAGAGCTGAAAATGAAACAAATATTTACCGAGAAAAACTCAATGAGAGTATGGCATATATCAAAGAAGCAGAGAATCACTCCTCCCATATGCCAATGCAGAAATTCCTACATAAATTCGAAGCACATGGCTCAGGAATCAATGCAATTGCATTTGGACCTAACTACAAAACATTCATCACTGTTGGTGACGACAAAAAGCTTATTAAGTGGAATTTACCAAGTTTGTCTCAAGCAGTCAACATTCCAACCGTAGGAATTGTTAATAACATCAGATACAGTGAAGAAGCTCAAGCTCTTTCACTTTCATGTCAGGATAAAGCAATAAGAATTTTAGATCTTACAAACGACCGCTTTAAAGCAGAATTAAAAACACATTCTGATCAAGCAACAGATTCATGCTGGATTTCCAAGATACAATTACTCAGTGCATCCAAGGATCGCACTGTGAAGCTATACGACATAAACAGACTCGCTTGTATTCATACTTTCATCACAATTAGCTCATCTTACAGTATAACGCCAACTCCAGCAAATAACCTTTACGCTGTTGGCTGTTTTGACCAGAAGATCAGATTTATCGATCCAAGAGACAGAAAAATCGTAAATACAATTGATCTCAAATCCGGAGCTGTTTTGAGTATCATTCCATCAATAACAGGTGATGTAATTTACTCCCTTGGCCTCGGAGGAAAGCTTGTGGCCACTTCCGTGAAGACAATGACTGTTATGCAAGAATGGAAGTCAAATGACCTCGAAATCAAGAACTACAACTCAAAGATATCGATTTCACCAGATGGTGGATACGTTGCTGTTCCTTCTCAGAAGGGTTGCGCACTTCTTTTCGATGTTTTGTCCGCATCTATGCCAATTGTATTAGATCATAAAAAAGAACCTGTTATTTCAACTGCTTATGCAGGAAATATGCTTATAACAGGAACAGCTGATAAGAATTTGTACTTCTGGGTATAAAATTAAAAAATTAATTTCCTAAAGCATTGATAATTTGTATTTTTATTTATTATGGCCAATAGATAGTCGAATCATTAAGAAATTTAAATTTCTAGAAAAAATAAAATTTTATATTTAAATTATCTCAGTTTAATAATAAAACATTTAAATCTTTCCATATAACATCTATGAAAATTAAGATTTACAGATGATACAAAGTATAATCTTTCATATTAAAAAAATAATATTGTGTTAAATGAACATCCATGTTGGTGTTCTGGCTCTATAGGCAGCATATTCAGGGAACATTTCAACAAGATATATTTCTTCTTCTCTTATCCTGTCTTTGAAAAATAGATATAAAACAATGTAAAAACCAATGGGAGATATAACATTTGTGAGGTATATCTGGGTTCCAACTGCAAATATAAGATATCCGAGATAAGAAGGGTGTCTGATATATTTATAAATTCCTGTCGTGATAAGCTTATGTTCAGGACGTTTATAATATGCTATCAAATGAGTAAATGATTTTCCTGCTTGAATAATTGCAGTGAATCTTATAGTTAATCCAATTGCAATTAATGAAAGGCCAATATATATGAAAACGTTAGAAAATGTGCACTTATATGGAAAGAAGTAGCATTCAACCAGATACTCTATTGCACCAAACGAAAATGCAATTAAATATTCTTTTGTAATGAGAAAACTTAAGCTATCTGTTGTGTCTGGATGGAAATGATATTGAATAACATATTCCATGATACTATATAATGCTAAAATGCATACTAATATCAATAAAATGAGGATACAAGTAATCGCTGTCACCTTTTAAATATTGTCAGTTTTTTTTTTCTTCAAAAAAATGGAAAAGGAAAGAAATAAGATAAAAAGCAAAACTTTTTCAGGCGAAGACATAAATATTACTATTCCTGGTTATGAAACTCTCGCAGGTGATGAATTGCGTTCATTTAACTCGTCATCTATTAATCCAAGCTTTTTATTACCATCAATCACTGCAGAATACAAAAAAACAGTATTAGGTGTTGGAAATTTCGATGAGCCTAAAGTATCAAACCTTAAAAGTCTTGATAAAAATTATTGTACAACAAAATCGTTATTAGAATATATAGAATCATTAAATCAGAAAGCACTCTTTGGTAACGATGGATCGTCATTCCCATCGCATGAACCTAGTGTTTATGGCGATATTTACGAAAAAGCAATTACAGAATTGAATTTATAATTTTATTGACCTTCATTTTTGTTTGTTTAATATGAATATATTATAATGTTATATTGTAAAATCATTTTTGTACTAATCAATGTATCATCTTACGTTAACACAAATATTTTTATCCAATTTTTCTTTTAAGATTGTTTATGCTTAATTAATCGACGAGCATATACCATCCATATTGAAATCTTTACATTCAAACGTAATTAATTAATCATATTTGATTCAATCAATTTCATGAATTTAGCAAACAAATTTTTACTATGAATTTGATATTTCCATTATAAGAATTTAATAAATCCGTTATAAATTACTCCATAAAAGTATTAATATATTTTTCAATATCGAATGCTACACAATATAGATCGTGTATATCAAAATCTTTAGCATAAAAGAAGGCTTAAATACATTTAAGAATGAATGGTGTTAAAAGAAGAAGATTTTCAAAAAAATTGAATAAAAATTTTGAGGAAAGAAAGTAAAAATTTACAATAATATAAATCAATTAACATAAAAAAACATCAAAATTAACAAAATTTTCTAAAAAATCAAATCCAAACTTCCTTCTTTCGATCTTTGAGTTCCTGGAGTATCACTGACTCATTCTGTTCCATGTAATATGTCCTGTACTTATCCAACTTAACGATTTCCCTCGTTAAAGTGAGATTGAACAGAATTCTGTCTCCAGGGTTCATTTTCTGTGGCCAATAGCCATGATTGACCGCGTAAACTAATCTCTGTATGTAAGGGAAGTTGAAGGAAATATTGACAGCTCCGGAATCGATTTTCTTCACGGAATGTTTAATATTGTGATTACAAACGTACATCATCCAAATTCCGAGTGCTTTCGCAAGACCTATGAATGGGTAATCGATTAGCCACGTTCCGATGACGACAACTCCGGAATCTTCTTTCATATAAATACAATGAAAAACGTTCGAGCCTGTTCCGGTTATGTAGTACTTAGTAATACCGAGTGTCTTGATACAAGTCGATAGATTCGTGTAGAATGTTTTTTCTGTGAGATTAATCCACTGAATATTTGGATAAGTCGCGCGACAGAGGTTGATGATGTCTTCCATGTTGAATATCTCTCTGGCGCCTTTTCTGTTTGTATAGGCGCCGACAGATGCCGTTAAATTCGTAAGATTATGGAAATTGTGGATTTGCTTTCTAAGTTGGATTGCGGAGTAATATAATGAGCAGTACGGGTCGGGGCTGATGAATGTATAGAGATTTTTGACTTTGTAGACTGTTCTGTTCTTTAATTCGTAATAATTTATTATATCAAAGCCGTATTCCTTCAAATAGTTGAGCCAGTTCTGCGTTGGACGCCTTATAATCACTTTCGACTTTTGCATAAGCTCGCGAGGGAAATAGATCATGCTGGTCGCAATTCCATCAGTTAACCAATGACCAAAGGTAACTAGATGGGAATAAACCCAGCAAACGTGCTCAAGAGGCTCTGGTTCGTAGTTGAACTCCCAATATGGCTCTTTAGTGTTGTTTACTCGCCTTAATCTGCCATATCGTGAATACATGTTATTTTTTGTAAGATAAACGTCCTTGAGATGGTAGTAAACGAGAATTTGTCGTACAAGAGCTGGTCTAAAACATGTTGGATCGCCAAAATATATGGGTTTTGTCGCCATTTGTCTTCCTTCTTTGTTTTCTGGTAAATATTCAACGATTTCACGCCTTTCAAATGGAATCATTTGGTCAATTCTGAAATATGCAACGTCTTGTATCTTTGTTTCGTTAAATAAAACTGTAACTCGGCCTAATATGAATGGTTTTGCAATAAGATATACTAATATCACAAGAGTGATAGTCATAAATTGATTTAGAACACAATATTCTAATCTGGAATAATATAAACGCTGCAAAAAACTGGACCGATAATACATTTGTCACTTTTTGATGACTTTCAATAAAATGAAAATCAATGATTTTGAAAATAAGAAAATAATAAGATAAACAAATAAGATAAAATAAAAAAATATAAAAAATATTAAGAATGATTTTCCATTGCTTGATCACTTAGAGTAAACAACTTCTTTTGCTCTGTTTCAAGTTGTCCTCGTAATGAAAGTTCGTAGTTCTTCGCCTTTTGGTATTCGTCAAGCCTTTTTAGGGCTGGAGAATTCGGATCTTGTTCGTAAATTGAAGATATCCTTAGATCAATCTCTTCGTTCTCTATAACAAGTTTCTCCTTTAATTTTCGATTTTCTTCACGAAGATTTGCAGTTTTAATGGTTAATTCTTTGATTTGCTCAAAAATATCCATTACTTCGGACTTATTCCATTTGAATAGTACTTGTGGTTTAACGTGAGTGATTTCTGAAGTTGGTTTCGGTTCAACTTTTGGACGATTTCTCTTTTGAGCTTTTTTATTACCTTTTTGCTCAAGAGCTATTTGTAGGCATTCATCGTAAGGTTTTGCAAGTTTCCACCATGCACCTTGTCTGTCATTATTATCAATTTTTTCAAATAAAATGGCAGCAGATCGACGCCCTGATAGAGCACTATTAAATATGGAAAAGCGGTGAGGTCCTGAGTCGATTTGACCATTGATTTCTATTGGAGATTTCTCGACAAATGTAAATAAGTCTTTCATTCTTACACTGCCATCATTATATTGTGAGCTTTCGCCTAGTACATGCAAAGCTTCAACAATAGCATGTTGCATATTCTTATAAATCTTTTGTTGTCTATTATCTTCGGTCATCAAATTTTTTGATAATCGCAAAAAAAATTTTGAAAATTAGAATTTAAATTGAAATTTCTAGATATTTTTGATCATTTTCATGTTTTTTCGAAAAAATTTGGAAAATTCTTGACTATAAAGTTATATTATTATTGAAGTAAATTCGATTATATAACAAATTTCTTTAAAATTTCCTATTAAAAAATGAAAAATAAATTAATTTACTTCAAAAATCTACGAATAATGGATTACATACTGCAAAATAGATATATTTAAGCTAGAAAAATGAATTAAATAGATTCATTATCAGGTAAATTAATCTTAAAAACAATTATTTATTAGATTCCCACATAGCTTTCATAGCACAATCATGAACATACAATAATTCAGAGAGCTTAATAACCTGCTCTCGTAGCTCGGATATTTCTTCGCGAATTTCTCGTAATTCCGCTTGAGAAACAGTATCTTTTGTTTTTTCAGGTTTCGAAGCTGTTTCTTCAGGAATTTTCTGTTCAATCTTTCTAAGTCTCTCTTCTATACCTTTAAGAGGTGTTGCTGGTATATCCGCTTCAAATGGAACAAATTGAGGCTCATCCCATTGAAGAGGGCCTGCAGTATGAGCTAACATTGCTCTAAGTTCGCCTTCCGTACCATTTACTAATATATCTATTAAGGCATCGGCGTTAAAATCTTCGGTTGTATCGATATCAGCACAATCAGCTCCATCTATGTTTTCTAGCATTGGGCAGAGGTATTTCGCAAATTGGGCAACTTTTAATTCCGGATTTTGATTGACTAATCCTACATTTATTGAAATTAATTGAGTAAACACTGCAATGTAACGAAGAGATCGAATTTCATTGATATTATTACCAGAGATATCAAGATTTTGTAATTTATTTCCTAATTTATCTTGTAAAAATTCGAATGACTCAAATTTGTTATTTGCTAAGTCAATTTCGATAAGAGATTTAGAAGGAGGCTTTGTAATCTCTCTAATTCTGTTATTTGACGCAATTAAAACTTTTAATGTCGATAACGAACTTAATGGTTCTAAAGATTCGATTGAATTACTACTGCAGTTGAGTTCTATAATTGATTGTAGTCCAGAAAGCGGTTTTAAATCAGATATTTTATTATTTGATATATTAAGTGAACGCAATGTTACAAAATTATCTAAATAAGGTAAATCTCTTATAGAATTTGATGAAACGTCAATTGTTTCCACAGAATCAGTTTCATCAATCTGAGGGAACTGGTTTAGACCTTGATTTGACATCTCAACGTCGTCCGCAGCATTTCCCCTCATTTTTTTTATTGTAAATCCCTAAAAAAACAAAAATGTGACATTAATATGACGATTATTATTGATTCAATTATTTTTTGTTGAAATCATGAGTAATAATTCTCAAGAAATAGTTTATATTTCGAGCTCTGATTATAGTGATGAAGATGTTTCAGTACCAAAGATAGAAAAGATCGTAAATCAAAGATTAACAAGTGCAAAAAGACTTCAATTTTTGGTGAAAAGACAAAATTGTCCTGAAACATGGGAATTAGCTTCATCACTGACTAATGAAAGCAAGCACATTCGTGAATATCTGAATTCTATACCAGCGCTTAAAAAAAATGTAGATACACAAACAGAAAATGCTACAGTGGTCTCTTCTGAAGAAATTCTAATACCTATTAATGATATCGATATTTCAAGCACAAATGATACACCAACTTCAATTTATCAAGTTTCACAAGGAAATGTTTACTATAAAACAGAAAATGGAACACAAAAATCACTTTCCATACAACTGTTTACCGATAGGTATCCTTCTTTACTTGCAGATTTCTTTTACACAAGATATAAAGATGCAGCCCTTAGAAACGGACCAAGATAATCCAAATTACATTGCCACCATCAAAAGAAATGTATTTCCTGATTCAATTTCAAAAATTAATAAGAAATTTTTATTATTTTAAATTAATTTCAATAAGTTAAGAACCAATCTATTTTATCGAATGCAAGTTCATTTCAAATACGTTGGATCAGCTAATTTTTAAAATTGATATTATTTTTAAAATTGTTTGTTATCTTCTTTAAATTACAGAATAAATCTTTATACTAGTGTCTATTACCTGGTGTTTTTGAGATTGAAAGATAAATTAAGATTTTTATAAAAAAATATTAAAATTTTGATAAAAAATTTCAAGATTAGAACAATAATGTATTTACTTTCATGATTAATTGCATTCATTGCGGTCAAATAATGGAACTTTTTGACCATGTAGAATTAAACAATTTTGTGCAAGATCGATAAGTGCTCTATTCTTCTTTAACCAATCAATACCAAGAATAGCGTGGTCTAAAGTGTCATCTAAAACTACAAACCTATTTGTCCAAACTTCGTTGCCAACTTTAACGTTTAAGCCATGAATAACACCCTTAGATGTTTGCATACCAACACCTTTAGTAAGAGTTCGATATCTTGCATCAATAAGGTATTTAACGTTACATTTCTTTGCTAAAGCATGAGGAATGATTGAGGACTGAGCACCAGTATCAATAAGAGCAACTACTTCAACTCCATTGATTGAACACTTAATAAATGGACTAGAATAAACTATGAAATTTTCTGGATTGTTTTCGTAGGCATATTGGAGGTTATGATCGATATTTTCTTGTCTGATTTGAGCTTCTATCCTCTTTTGTTCTTCGGCATCGAACATCATATCAATAAATTGATCTTTTTCTTGTCCAATTTTTGCATCAAAGTAAACAATATTAGATAAATCTAAAGTTGAAATTACAGTGGATGCAGGTAATTCCTTGTCATCTAAAAGAATTGAAATGTCAGCAGGATCATAATTGTATTTTGTGGCAATGCAACAAATTAATTCTTCTATTGTTGAATTATCATTTACTTCGAATGGCTCTGGCTCATTGTCCATAATCTTTACAAAGATTATAAGATCAGACATGCGATTTTAAAAATGTTTCTTTCTGACAAAATATTTGTTCGGCTAATTAAACTGTCACGTTTCCTTACAAAAATTTTCTCTAAAAATTTTGATCATGATAAGTCGTTTCCCAAGTTGTCAACTCTTTTGAACATCACTAGATCAGATATGAGTTTTTATTAAATCGAAATTGATTTCGGAAAAGTTTTCGTAAAAAAAAATATTGTAAATGTTGAATGAAATATATATAATTGCGAAAAATATGGTCTTTGAATATTAGGATTGCAGTATATATTTCAGTTCTATCAATATTAGGCATCAAAAAATTTATAAGATATTTCATTGAGTTCATCTTAATATCAAGGAATTATACTACTATGCATTCATATATGGCAGAATATAATAATAAAGAATAATGCGAATTTGTGAAGGCAAATAGCTGAGGTCAATTATCAAGTTTTTATCATGAATGCAACCACACTTCACAATTCTGCAAATAGAGAATAATTTAGAAACAGCAGAATTACTTTCACCACATAAATGCAGATATAAGTACAAAAGATACTAATGAATAAACCTCATTATCACGATGCAGATGGAAATTGCAGAATGACTTAAGCATGGGGATAATGTCAATTCAAAAATAAAAATGATGATACTCCTATTGATATTATTTCGGTGGGGAATGGAAGAAAATAATTATCAAAGAAATCTGGAACAATATCCCTATTGTTTGCTACCAATTTTCACTCCAAAGGTACAATAGGATTGTTAATATATTAATGCAACATTATACTGTAATGGAAAATATTAAAAAACAGTAAGGATGCACTCTTCTTTAAGGTGCCACATGAGATAATTGTAATGAAATTGAGGAAATATTTTATTTTTATGATGAAGATATCAATGAAAATAGAAACATTGATTGACCTCCTTTGAACAGTTAGAGGTCTACAAATTGCCCGAATATCAATTTATATGTTATAAATGTATATTATCCTTTTCATTTTGCAGCTCGAAAGAGAACAGAAACTGCTAGAATTCTCATTTTAAATAAAACTCATGTTAATGCAAAGAATGATCTCGAAAGAACTCCTCTTCAAATTGCAGGAGGAAATAATAAAGAAAAAATCGTGTAATATCATTATTGAAATTATAAATCCAATAGATGGTTATGGATTAAATACTCTTCAGTGTTATATCAAATGGAGTTGATGTTATCTAAGTTAATACTCTTCATATTGCAATCGAATATAATTTATTATGGGACATATATTTTTGCGGCTACAGATAATGTCGATAAATTGAAAGATGTTTGCGATTTAGTATTTATCATTAAAAATCAACTATAAAATGTGAAGTATTAAAAAAACAGAATATAATATCAAAGTTCTTTGCATCATTATCAATGCTATTACAAACAATTTATTTAACAACATCTTATAATCAACTACATGACATCAAAATAATTAAATTAATCCACTCATACTCATTCGATTTGTTTTCATGATTTTAAACGAATAGTTCCATAAAACCTGGGTAATTTATTCAGATGACTATTAAAAAATTCTTAAATATATTCTTCAATTGATTAGAGAATCATACACCGAGCATTTCTTATGAAATATGCTCGCTCAAGAATGACAGTGTAGAATCACCACTTTATTTGATAGTTACAAAACACTATTCGTAGTTTAAAAATTCTATTTGATGTTATATTAATTGATCCCTTCTGCGATTCTCAAAGTAACCTAACATATCAACCAATATCACTCAAACACTCAACAATCGAACGATGAAATTCAGTTGCTTGATAAAATGATTCATTATATTTTTCAAGTTAATATTTAATATTCATTGATATATTTCTTTCTCCAATTGCAATTTAACTCATAAGAAAACGAAATGAATATATTGCAAGACCCATTCGCCATTAAAAATCAACAACAATATTGTAAAAATATAAATTCTTTTGCCAACCAATACTATTTATCATGATTTTAAATTGAATGCGTTGCAAATGATTCAGACTTATGCACAATCTTTCTGATGGTAATTTAAAGTTGTATTTAAAAGATATATTTGAATTTTAGATTATAGAGAATTTTAGAAATATTTATGCAAAAACAACGAATGATAAAAGTTGGTTTGATATATTATGCAAGCCAAATGTATAAATTGCTTATGTGAATTTCTCATTTATCAATTTTATATAGTAGAACATCATTGACACCAAAAATAGAATAACATATTAGAATAGATATATTTTATTTAAACAAAAGTTCATAATAATATTCGAGTCTAGAAATCAGGGTAATTTCTAATTAAGTTTGGAAATTTTTCCCTTAATAATATCAATATTATCACCAATGTAACTGTCTAATGCCTGTAACTTGGATTCACCCTTTAAAAATTTCAATGATGGAATTGCGTCAACTCCGAAGTAGACTTTGATTTCTGGATTGTCATCAATGTCAATTTTGATGAATCTAGTATTTGGAGTGTCTTCAGCTAAAGCTGGTAATTTTCTGCTTAATCTTTTGCAAGTACTGCACCAAGCTGCGTTTAAATCAAGAATACTCAATCCTGAGTAACCAGTAATAAGATCATTAAGTTCTTGGATAGATCCATTGAAGGTAATGACTTCGGCCATCTTTGTAAAATTATGATTTGACCAAAATTTTCCTTGTTCTATCAAAATTTCCCAAATCAGAAAATTTTTTATGTTTCAATTCAAATATTTTACAGTTATTAATTGAACCTTAACAAAATTATTTACACTTATCTACTATTGTTAGGCCAGACCAATAAAATCATAGCGATCATTCAAAAGTAAAATTGAGAGCAATCTATTCAAAATAATCAAATCACATTTAAATTTTTGAATCATTACTTTGGTTCAGCAATACAGCAAGCTGTTACATAAAATAATAAATATTCCCTAAAAACATCAAGTTTTACTTCAAACATATAAAAAGTGACTTTTTCGATGCGTAAATATAAGGGTACCTACACTAGACGATAACAGCAAAACGGGAATTATATGAAAACAATAAATTATGATTATATTCCAATTGATAAATTTGATTGAATGTTAAAAATTTTCTCACTGACCAAATTGACCTTTATCTCTATATTGAAAAATGCAATGTAATAAAAATCTTATATATAATGGTCATCATTTTTGTGAAAGTTGATATGCTTATCTGAAATTGATGAACAAGATGCAGAATCTTAATTTCTATTCTATATTTTAATCACTAAAGCTGAAATAATATGCATTCATAGCGCTACATTGAATCTGTTATTTTGAATAAAATTTTTCTTATTTTATTGTTCTCGATTCTATTATAGTGAGATCTTATTTTGAAATAACGATGGGAAAAATAACATAGGAATTTACTCTTTCTTCATAATATGAACAAAATAGATTGATGACAAGATAAAAATACAGGAAATTGCAGTAATGCAAACGTCAAACATTACATATAAAGGTATGTTTTGAAAAATCATCATTGTCCCTAAAATTATCATGCAAACGATTGAAAGATTTACAGGATTTGTTCTAACGAATGTAGATTTAATCCATTCTTGTAAGCATTGAATCATAATTTGAGATTTTGAAAGGACTCTCTTTATTTCTGCTTCGTTGAGATCTGCTTCATTGTAGTTCATATTCATCAGTATTTTGTATATTTTAAGGGATCTAATGCAGTATACAATCCCAACAATACTGATTAAAAAGATCAGGGAACCGATAGCTTCGTTAATGCAAGATTTCCATAATAAAATTGTTAAAAAAGCTTCGAAAATGATTGAGAAAATGAGCAGATAAACTGATCTTGAACCAAAGATGTCCAAGTACCAGACAAAAGCTTTCTTGTTTTTCTCTAAAAACATATCAGACCATTCTTTATCTACTTCCATTCAAATAATGTCATTTCAGATCAAATTGAATTGAAACGACAAAAAATCGATAATTTATGAAAATAATCTTTTATTACACTAATTAAGCTAATTTAGAATTTCTTTCAAATTTTAATAGCTCTCAAAAAATAAAGTATCGTTTGATCCATCCATTCAATTTTATATTTCATCTGACATGAGACAAAAAAGAATATTCTATATTTCATATTGAACTTTTTTAAAGCACGAATAAAGAATTTATAATTTCAATTCAGAAAATGTGAGTTTGGAAAGATTCTGAATTCTTCAAGAGGTATCCACCGTATATAGAAATGACCAACCTAAATTGAAACATGCATAATCCATCATAGTTTTGAATTTCTTCATGTTTCTTTTAGAATGTCAAATTAAAAAGCTGTTAAGAAGAAACGATTGACCTCCTTTGAATCATCAAAGACAATATAACTCTTTAATTCACCTAAAATCATCTTTGTGCTTTTCAATTTTTGATTTGACTTTAAATCATGATCAAATAATCCATAAAAGACTTCCATAATATTGACCAAAATTTTCTCCCTTATGCAGTGTTGATTTGTCATAATGCAGTTGACAAGTCAAGAAAATCGACTTAGATTCCTTTTTGAAATATCATGAAATCTATTTTGCAGTGTACTCTATTCCACATCATGAATATGAACCATATATATTAATTATCACATAAGTGGAGTTCTATAAACTCATTCCTTGCTATAAAACTTGATTAACTTTTCAAAAGTTGAAGAATTCAAACAAGAGTATTATAAAGCGAGTTTCACCAACATATAGACAAAAGGTGGTAATCTTTCACATGACATTACTGCTAATTTTATGCATATTGCAGCAGAATTTTATTCCAACTGGCTCGAATATTTTTGGAAGAGAATATTATTGGACTTTTCCTCTTGATCTGGAAAAGTTTAATAATGAACAATATAAATTATCATATTTTAATGACACTGGCGAATGCGATCTTTGCAATTTTACAGTTAGAAACGAAAAAAATAATTCATCTCCTCGCGATTTATTATTAGCAGCCACAAGATACAAATTAGAAAATATACACTTCCTAGTACGTTCATTACGCCATACAGGATCAAAATGTACCGTGGCTTATTTATTAGATACAATTGCCTACCACAGAATCACTGCAAAAGATAGATTTTACTTAGAAAAATGTGGTGTACAGCTAATAAACATGGGTGATGCTGAATATACAAATAAAACAGACGTTTGGTCAAGCATGTATTTGTGGATGGAGTATGTTATCTATTCCAATCCGCATAAATTCGATCGAATACTTAAGGTAGACATGTATGATGTTATATTCCAAGGCGATCCATTTGATAAATCGATAAAACCAGATACTTTTTATATGATCTCTGAGGCAGGACCAATTGGAAAACATTCAATGTCAAAAGAATTTATTGCACAAGTTGATGATATTATTCCCCACCCAAGTAAATACCTTGAAGGCAAATATTTCCTTTCATCTGGAGTGGCTTTCGGCACAGAAGACGTTTTCCTGAAATCACTGAACGCGTTCTTTACATTATGGAAATGGTCCCGTGGATGGGATGACCAATCTGTATTTAACGCTGCTATTTATTCTGGTATATTCGATTATTACAAAATAAAGACAGAAACACTAAGAAAATCGGAATATGTATATCATATGTGGTATACTCAAACACCAATTCATCGTCTTGGAAATGTGACTTCAAAATTTGATCGATCTTATGCTCATATTATTCATAACAGCTACCTTTCGGGCATACTTCTCTATGAAAGTGAAATTTATTGTCCAAAAGACGACCCAGAGCTTCGCTATTTTTATACAAAAGATAGATTTTTGTGCAAAACTGAAGACTTTATGCTTACATGCATTGACCATAACTATAACGAAGATGGCACATTGATTGAACTTAATTTCGGGTGAATTTGTGTTTAAAAAATTTAATGGAGAATATTAATAGAGTATATATAGAGATTATTTGTTATATGTAAAAATTTTGTTTTGTTTATATTTTGATATTAATTGATCAATTATTTTCCTGATATTTATATAAAGTGAAATTCAATGAGAAATATAATGACTCTGACTCTAACTCCATATGAAATCTATAATACATTGTTATTGTTTGACGATTGGAGAATATCAAATTTTAATATTTCAGATTTTATTCAAATATTTCAGATAAAACCTGCTTTGATTTACATATCTTAGCTCAAATAGTAGTAGATAAATGAGATCTACAATAGAAACAAGTTTCAATAATCGTAAAAAAATACATGGAAATATGTTTAATTAAATAACAAAATATATTAATAAACAGACTTAGCAATTTGAATCTGAGCTTCTTGCAAACGCACTATAGTTTCTAAAAGAGGAACCAATGATTGACGCTGTTTTGATTGACATTGTTTAGATATTTGATCTGAGATTTGAGTTATGTTTTCTGAGTTTGTAACATAGCGTTTCGCCGATTGCTTCAAGTGCTTTTTCTTAGTTAATAATTTTGTAACAAGTAAATTAGAATTCATTTGAAAATATAGAGCAACTTTGTCTTTAACTTCTTGTTCTAACTGATGTTGAACGCCTTCAATATTTTGCTGGTTTTTAATACGATGCACTTCTATTTCTTGAATTAGTTGAGATGCAGCAGTTATCTGTGATTTAAATTGTTTGTCGTATCCGGAAAGCTTTTGCGAAGTTAGAATAAAGTTATCATCGCATAGGTTGATCCTCCTTTCCAAGCTCTCAATTCGAGTTGGAATATCCTTTTTGCGCATGGGGGATAGAACATCTCCAAGCAAGCTTATTGATGGAGGAAGACTCAGAGTACTTGCTGATTTCGCTACCCCTAAGACACGCATATACAAAATTGAAAATAATGTTCTCAAAACCGCGTTAAATTATTCAATACGTGTTCACCCCTAAATTATTTTATCTATTCAATTTTTAATAGTGAAATTGCTAAGAATGTAATAACATATGATTTTCAGTGAATAATTTACAATGTATTAAAATTGAGACCATCCTCTCAAAATATCGAATGATAAAAATTTTACCTTAAATTGCATTAGCTATCAATTGTATTCAAATCTCCAACGTATAAAGTAAACGAATCACTCTTATGGGGTTTGTTGTAAACAGAAATTCATCAAAAGTGACACCTCAGAAAAGCTAAAATATTGAATTTTTGGAACTTTTGATAGAGCACGTTTTTAAATATTAATTAAAGTAAATGTATATTTTGTAAAGATTCTTTTTAATAAAAAATAAAATTTTGGAGAAGAACACAAAATCTTCTGAAAAATAATATCACATAAACTCATATTATTTTCTAATATATAACTATTTTATATAAAAATCAAATTCAATGATCTTAAAAGCGAAGGATAAACCTCAAAATTTACGAATATAATGAGTGGGAATATAATGCTTATCTATCATAAAACCATATGAAATATTAATTTTTGCTTTACGCCTAATTTTTGACGACAATTAGCAAAAAATGTTAAATGTTAACACTCAGTCCATTTGAATATGAAAAATAAAATTGACTTTGATTAAATGTTTTTATTTATCATGCAATTCTTCTTGCGACCAAAGATTTGAATAAAAGTTCAAAAAATAAGATAGCTTAAAAAGTAATATACGGTAGTGTTTACTAATAGATGAATAGTATATAAATTCTATTAAAATGGATTTGATCCAAAAAAATATATAAAATTTGATCATAAATAAAATCGTTTTAAATTACTTCTTCATTTAAATTATAACAATTATTTTTGGTTTTATATTTTTTTGGATCAAATCCATTTTAATAGAATTTATATACTATTCATCTATTAGTAAACACTACCGTATATTATTTTTTAAGCTATCTTATTTTTTGAAATTTTATTCAAACCTTTGGTCGCAAGAAGAATTGCATGATAAATAAAAACATTTAATCAAAGTCAATTTTATTTTTCATATTCAAATGGACTGAGTGTTAACATTTAACATTTTTTGCTAATTGTCGTCAAAAATTAGGCGTAAAGCAAAAATTAATATTTCATATGGTTTTATGATAGATAAGCATTATATTCCCACTCATTATATTCGTAAATTTTGAGGTTTATCCTTCGCTTTTAAGATCATTGAATTTGATTTTTATATAAAATAGTTATATATTAGAAAATAATATGAGTTTATGTGATATTATTTTTCAGAAGATTTCATTCTATATGCCTATGAAAAGTACTCTCAAAACTAACTTTTTCCTAATTATAATTAAATCTAGAATATTGTATTATGCTTAGTATTATTTCATTTTTCTCATTCAATTTAGAATTTACAAATGTCAAAAAATTGAGAGTTGTCACTTTTGATGAATTTCTGTTTATTACAGGTTAATTCGGAATTTCCTTGAAAACAGAAATGATTTTATTGGGAACTTTATAAATACGGCCAAAACGTGTATGAATGAACTGTAATTATATTATTTAATTATTTTTTGTATCGAAATAAGCGAACATTTAAAATTCTGAATCCCGAGAAATCTTCATTCGATGTTTCTATGATTAAATCAACATTGATTAGTTAACATATTATTTGAAACATCCATTCAGGTGATTACATATTAAAGAATATTATCCTTTGCTGTAATTCTTGATTGAATTGTCAAATCATTGTCCAAGTCTTGCTTGTTAAGCTAAAAAGCTACATGGTATAACTAGTAATCTCTAATATTATATTGCGAGTCATTGATTAACTCAACTATTTAATTTGAAATTTCATATTGAAGCTATTTGTTGAATAAATGCATTCAAACTCGTATAATATCAGGGATAAAGTACACAAGACCAGGGAAAATAACGAGAAAGGAATAATTATTTGATAATAATTTTGAAAGTCTCACTTATTGCTTATTCTTCTACAATAAAAAAATATTTGTATGATGATTAGATTATCCTTTAGACAACCGCATTTAGAGGTTTGATGACATAAGGTATTGAGCAACCTTGCCAACAGAAGCGGAAAGAGCAGCTGGGTGGAACTGTCCATCTGTGTAGCCAGCGACGATGAGTGTCTTTGTCTTCTGGAGGACGACAGCCTGCTTGCCCTTCATGGCGAAGACCATTTCACTGTTAGCCTGGTTGCAAACGAACTTCTCACCAGCATACATGAAGCCAGCAAGAGCTGGGGATGGTTCAGCGAAGTATGTTGTGTACTTCATGAGTTCATCTTGTGTGGCCTTCCATGTGCCCTCCTTAGCGCAAAGTGTACCCTGAAGGGAAATGATGGCGCAGCCAGTGGACTGGGTTTTAAGAACAACAAGCTGATCGTTCCAAGACATTCTCTTGAAAAATGAAGTGAAATATTTGTGATAATTCAATAATTTTTTATTTTAGTTATGTAGAAATAATGTGCATAACTACTAGAGTTCTATAATGGTGTATTTTATAAGTGATATGAATTTGAGATAATAAATTTCAGAAATCATTTGAGAATTATCGTTAGCGTCTTCAAAATATATCCGATAGCGAATCATGAAAAATTAGGGTGCCTCATCAATGAGCTATACAATAATTAGATAATAACTGATAAAAAAATTTTTGCTTTCAATTTCTTGATTGTGGGTGGGGACGAATTGTGTTGTCACATAAACGTATACGGTTTTTCATATTTAAATTTGCAATCCGAGCTATTTTCGAAAAAATACGTCAGGTTTGTAAAAAATAAAGCGATATTAATTCGAATCCTTAAAATAGTCTCTCTTATAACGAATACTGCATGAATATAGTCAATAAGCATCGAGATTTTAACTTTCTTGCCAATGAATTAATTTAGGTATTTAGAACTCAGAAGTTATTCCATAACACTGACATCCTATAGATACTTACATCTACATAGCTATTCATTATATTGACAATATTTTTGTAGAGATTTTTGCCCAACCACTGTTTCGTTTATATCAATAAATATTTATCATATCAATGCAGTATACATGATTGTTCCAATCATGCAAGGCCGAAAGAAAGACCATCGAATATGAATAAAGGTATTAATGAAGAATTGGCATGCTATGATTTGCAACATACATAACATGCAGGTATATATCAAAACTATAATACAAGTCATAATGATGAGTATATTTTTTAATTTGAATCTTAATATTTTACTAAAACTTCAAGAATAAGTATTATAGATAACAAATTCTATTGAATTCAAACAAATGAAATGAATGTATAGGCCATAAATAATAATTTTTGAGAAAAATTATTTTTTTTTCTAAAAAAACCAATTATATAAAAACTTTATTCTGCAGCAGCCTCTTCAGCAGCATGCTTACGGTGCTTACGATGTTTCTTCTTTGGAGCAGCTTCTTCGTTAATTTGGAAATCAGCCTGTTCTTTATAAGCCGGAGCTTGTTCTTCAACCTGTTGTAATGCATCACCCTTCTCAGCTCTAGCGGCAGCAGTCATAGATTCCTGCTCTTTTATCTTTGCGCGAGACATGGCAAATTTAACATTTTGACCTTGTCTCTGATGAATTCTGTTTTCGATGTATTCTCTATCCTGTACACCAATAGTAAGTGATGGCTCATCAGTGTAGTTATCAACACGTGATGAAAGAGAGATCTTTGAAGCAAGAGATCTTGCAATTTGGCCTTTGAGCTTTGGATACTTAGCTGCTTCAGCGGAAGTGACGAGCTTGGCATGGTAGATGTAGCCGTACTTCGGTGTGGGCTTATGTTCCTTAATTGCTCTGAAAAGTGCTTTCTCAGCTCCATATACTTGGACTGTAGAAGAAGCGAGCTTGGCAAGCTGCTGGAGAGAACCGGCATGTGCAATAAGACGGCTGCCGACGGTCTCTCCGACAAGTTCTGTAAGGTTTGGTGCAATGGCCATCATTCTGACACGAACGTAGTCGGCGATTTCGTTTCTGAAGCCTGTAAGTTCGATAACTTGCTCGCAGAGTGCTTGGATGCAGGCAAGATCTGCATCAGAAAGCTCTGTACCGATAGATCTTTGTGCAATTCTGACAACTTCTTCAGATTGCTCGGCGTTGAGGAGCTTGTCGAGTTCCTCCTTGCACTCAACAACTTTCTCACGACGGCCGACCTTGAGAACGATGTTTGCGTAGATGAAGTTATCTGATGTGACGTTCTTGAGTTCTGGGAAGTGCCAGCCGTACCATTCACGAACGCGCATACCGTAGTTGTTAAGTTCCTTGTCAAGTTCTTCGAGTAAGTTAACAGAATGAACAATCATTGAATCAACTTTGGATGGAGAGAATTTGAGGATTTTAGAGCTAAGCTCGTGTGATACACCAAGTTCAAGTTGACGGAATGTGTCTTCAGAAACTGCTGGAATGAGATGCTCAATTTGAGAACGAATAAGACGGAAAATTTCTGGGACTGCTTGACCTGAGGATGCAACACATTCAATTCCAAGTACATCCTTGATGGCATGAGCAAGATTTGCATCACTTACTTGAAGCTGATCTTTGATTCCTTTGCTAACAATGTTTGTTTTGAGGAAATTGCTAAGTGAATCATCAACTTCAGAGTTCATGAGCTTCTGCATTGCTTCAACGGACTCTGATGTCTTTGTAAATGGTTCGAATGCTTGAAGAGATACAACTTTTGATGCTTGCTTTGGATTTGAGAATGCGGCACAGAGGTCATCCTTGGAAAGAACGCCCTCATTGTCCACACGCCATAATGTGTAGCCGGCTGCTGTTTCGAAAAGGACTAACATAAGCCAAGTGGTGCACGAATTTGAGAGGGTCTGGTCGATTTTATCAATCAAGACAAAATCTCTTTACTTTTTTATATTTGTCTTATTAAAAATATAAGTTCAGATCATATATGCTATCTTATTTATCCGATAATGTTCACCAAAATTCTTTAATTTATCATTCAGCCAAATTCAAAACTAGTGCTACAGCCAATATGAATCAATCAGTAAAATACGTTTCTATTACACAAATATATCCAGCAGTTAGGGAATACAAAGTCTGAAATTTAAAATATATATCCAGATATTACTTGTTATAAGCGAACATCTATGGGGAATTATGATTCACCTAGAAGTATTTCTATACAGTATAAGCTGTGGATTAAACTCAATGGAATTAATTTCAAAAAATATTAACAGAATAACATGTTAAAGAGATATCAATAGTAAAATTATTATTAGATTGATTTTTGTGCATTTGTATTTTTGTTAAAAACTAAAACATATTTGAAATGTTTTTATAATATGAAATGTAATGTTTAAGCAACGAGAGCAGAAGCTGTCTGAGCGTTGTACTTCCAGTTTGGAGCAAGAACACGGCGGGTCTTGTAGTAACGTGTAAGACGGTGAATACGAGACTCGATAAGGATAAGACGGTACTTGCCATCAACATCGTGCTTGGCGTGTTCGAGGTGCTTGCGAACGTTTGTAGCCTTCTTGATAAGGTGGTAAAGTTCTTCTGGAAGAGCTGGAGCGAGGCCATTAGCCTTAAGGATACGGAGGACCTTAACGCCTGTGACAGCGCGGACCATACCAACGCCATTGCGGTCACGAAGAAGAGCGCCGATCTGTGATGGGCGAACACCCTTCTTAGCATAATCGCAGATCATCTGGACGCAGTTCTCAGCAGAGAGCTGGAGCCAGTGTGGGGCTGAACGACGGTATGGGCATGTTGAGGAGCTGATACCTTTGCCTTGGGAGTGAAGACGACCCATTGAAAAGAAAAGGTCGCTCCATGACGATTATTTTACCCTCAAAATAAAATTCGGGCCAATGGCAATTGTTCTTAGATTGACGAATATTCTATAAGTACACAAGATGGTGATCCTAAATAACTTAAGAAATAAGAGTTTCGATAGATCAATATTTTTATCAAATCTTGAATTTCGACATATAGGCTTTGAGATTTTACATGATTGCCAAAAATGATCAAGGAAATTCTTTTCAAACATGAACAGTTGCATAAAATAGCATTTTGTTGATAAATGTGAAAATTTCTTGAATTATAATAAAGGACAAAACAAATATTTAGTATAATGCAATAAAATTAAGCAAAGAGTACAACATGATAAGTAAAACATCTATTTGCAATCAAAACAAAAATTAAAATCGAAGTGGAGGTTCTTCATCAACAAATGAAGCTTCATCAACCTTATTTCCATTTTCAAGATAAGAACTTTCAGGGTTGTTATCAAAGAATTCAAGTTTTTCAAACAGCGGGAACGTAGTTTGAAGTAAACCGTCTTCTTCTGGTTTTGTAGCAATTTGAGGAGTTTCTTTCGGTTCCTCTACATCATCATCAGAGTCTCTGCTCTTGAAGAATGAAATATCATCTTCATCACCTATGAAAGTAACGCCACTATCTTCTTCAACAGGTTCTGGCGGTGGTGAATCAGGTTCTCTGATAGGAATCGGTTCAGGCGGTTTTTCTTCCTTTGTTGGAGAAGTTTTCTTTGATTTTTTAATTTTCTTTTTGACTTTTTCTTTAGATGTGGATTCGAGTTCATCATCCTCAAGCATTTGCTGAACATTTTTATTAGGTATGGTTTCAATCTTACTATCTTCTTCTATTTCACTATTTTCATAAAATCTTACTTTCTTTCTTGGCGGTGGCCTAGTAGGAGTATCAGGTTCCACTTTAATAATCTTTCTAATTTCAGGCGATGGAGGTTTTTCTGTTTCATCTAGATCATTTACGTTCAAATGAATACTATCTTCATCAACGGGAAGAATGACATTGTTTTTCTCAGCTTTATCAGGAATACTATTGCTAATAGATGATAATCTGTTTGTAATTCCTTCTACATTTGTTGAAATATGTTCATGATTATTGATCAAACAATTCCAATGGTGTAATTGCTGTGGATGCTTTTCTTGAATATGATTTTGTAAGGTTTCTGCTGATTTAAACATCTTTCTGCAAATAGGACATCTATCAACATCGTTTTTAATTTTATTAATCAACAAACGAGCCTTATCATATGTAGTTTGTAATGAATTATATTGATCTTTGAGTGTTTGAATCTCTTCTTTATTGGCCACTTGCATTTCAATGAGAGCATTACATGAAAGCTGACACAATCGAAGGAATTTAGGCATTAATTCCTGTCTGTATTCCGAGTAATTATTTGTTATTTGAAATTTGCGGAATCCTTTAATAAAACATTTTAATTGACTGTTTTTATCGGCACCAGAAGTCAACTCTTCGACATCAAACGAGTCAACAAAGTCCCAGTTGATTCCCGGTTGTGAATTAGAGCTTCTGCTGTTCCTTCTAGAGGATTTCATTTAAAATCTTGTTTAATTTTCTCGTATAAAATCGTACGTTGAAAATTTTATATTCAAAAATTGGCAAAAAGACAAAGTTTACAAATGTCAAAAATTATTTGGCAAATAATTGCTTGCTGCATTATATGAATAAAGATAACTATATAAGTTCATTTCTTTATATTTGATTTGCACAATTCTGTGAATGTGATCCAATTCTAGAAATATTGCATGTTTTCACTTAATTTATCAATGAAAATGTTCTCATTATTCTTATTATCAACATATATTCTGGACCCGGCCTAGAGGAGAACAAGATAGTTCAATGTATTTATATTGTTATCAATAGATATATTAAATATGATCGAAATCAAGCTTGAATCATATCTGAAACGATATAATTAGAATTTTATAAGTAAAATGTAATAACATTTGATAGTACAAGATAGTTTTGCTATTAAATATGCTAATTATCATATGAAATCCTGATTTTTCTCAAAAAGTTTTTTCAGTGAAAAATGTCGGACACGCAAAGGCCGACTGCAAATAATATTTTTGCAGAAGCAATCAGAAAACTAATGGAAGATAGTGAAAACAATTCATGCATCGGAAATCTCGCACAAATTTCTCAACTTTTAGTAAAAATCGATTCTCAAGTTCCAGGAGCTGCTGAAGCACTCCTGTCAGTAATACTTACTAATTTCAGGCAAGCATATAATTGACATTTTTATTGCGGATTTTGTTTTTGTTATGATAAACTGTCTTTATCTTTAACTTGATTCTTTCTTTTTACAAATGTATCGATATAACTACTCAAATGCAGCACCATTTCTCATTCAAAGTTATTGGATGACATCAATTGAAATCGATTTTTTTTTTAATATTGGAATTTTGAACTTTATTATACCGCACAGATGCATAATAATCTCTATAATGAAGAATATTCTAGCTCTCCAACGCATTATGAGAAAAAATCTGATTGATTTTTGTTACGTATACGACCAAATGTGCTAAAGTCAATAAAAATATATTATAAACGTAATAAGAACTCTATTTCTAATAATAAATTTAGGAAAATTTTAATAGGGCGACTTCTTTGAAAATGTGATCGTTGGCCTTTCGAAATGTCTGAGCTTCTTTCATTGCTCCAATCACTAAGAAGAATATCAAGAGACCAACATGGAGAGGTATCCCACGTATTTCCTTCACACGCCCAGCTGTTGCTGCTGAAGTTGACCCACTTGTCAAGCCAACATGCGCTGCTAAGGCCGTCGAAACACGCCAATCCCTCAAGGTTGGTACAGTCGTTATCTTTGTTGGTGGTGAACACCAGGGCAAGCGCGCTGTTGTTGTTGCTGACCAGGGAGCTGGTATTGTTAAGGTTGCTGGCCCAGTTGTCCCAGTCAACGAAATTTCTCAAGACTACTTAATCGCAACATCTACATCAATCGAGGTTGCTGCCAACGCTACAGAAGCTCAGGTTGAGGCTGCTGCTGCTAAGGTCCCAGAAATGGTCGAGTACCTTAAGGCCCCATTCACAATCAAGAAGGGAGACCGTGTCCACCTTATGAAGTTCTAAGTTGCCTAAATCTATATTTGTCTTCAAATCCAAAAATTATTTTTTATTTTTCAATAATTTTGTCCATAAACAATATCTCAATCCTTAATTCAGGAAGGATATCATCTACAAACAATAGTAATCTCATTAAATTTCATGATAAAACCAAAATTTAATATTAATATGGGAATTATTACCAGATAACTTAATATTTTTCCAATTATCAAAAACAGATTAATTTGCTTTACAGACAGAATCAATAGCAATGAAAATCTTTTCAAAATCTCTATTATTTATAATAACAAAACAAAATACGCACAACATAGAATAATTATTCTATGCAGAAGCATCTTCTGCAAAAGCAACACCTTCACGCTCTAAAATTTCTTTAAGTTTTGAAAGTGTTATTTTTACGCCTCCATTTGTCATCTCTCTGAATAATGACATTAATGGTATCGGATTGTAGACTAAAATATCCTCATAATATTGACTCTTTAATCTAATAAAGTCAATAGGTCCGAGTATTTGATTTCTGGCTGAGCTCTTCTTATTTAATGCTTCCCATATCCTTATTAACTTTGAAATAGCCGATGATCTTGTGGTGAATCGAAATCCATATTTCTTTAATTCATTTTCAAGGTCTTTATCAGTCATAGATTCAAATATTGGTGGATCTTGAACATCTTGATGGGTGGTACATCCATATTCTTGAAGTATATCTTGTACATCCCTTAAATATTTTTCACGTAATAATCTAAGTTTTTCATTCATTTGTTCTGTAACACTTCTATTATCCTCATGGTGGATAGTAACATGCTCTTCGTTTTCATTGAAAATTTCTTCGTCTTCTTCTAATTCTGCATTATCTGAAGAGTCATTACCATGCGGAAGAGAAAAATTCACTTGCGATGGCTGTGGAGGTGTATTCGGTATTGGAGGTGGTTCGTTATCTGATCCATATGATAATTGCTCGACATTATCATCAAGAAGAATCGTATCTGGGATAGTTGGTGGAGAATTACGCTCAATATCAATTTTGCTTTTAACATCAATTAAAACTACGTCATCATCCGAAGAAGAAGAATGATTTGATTTTGGTATTTCTTTATTTTTGAAAGAATTCGGAGGTGTTGGATCGTGATTGATTGTTCCTGTATCATGGTTCATATACTCATAATAAATATCAGGTTCGTCGTCTGAATCTTCCGTTTTTTCTTGAACTTTAAAAATTGAATAGACACAAGAATTTTGACATAGTGTCAAATTTTTCTTGGATTTATGACCAATTTACAAGATTTTAGAAATTTCAGAAGACAATAAAAATCATGGATGATCGAGAAGTCGAAGCCACATACGACCTTATTCACCAGGCGGCCTTAAGTGGTGTCGATTCTGTATTCAAGAGTGAAGACTGGAGAAACCATCCACTATTTCGTACCGATCTTCCAAAAGATGTCGAAAATGATAGATATTTAGGTGCGTTTCAACACGTTACTTATGATGGTGAAACACCAGACTCAATAGCAGCCAACTTCAAAGAAATTGGTAACAATTGCTTCCGTTCAGGCAAGCAAGGATGGTTTACAGCAGCTAATTGGTGGTCAAGAGCACTTGAAGAGAAAATTACAGACAACAAACTCAAATCAGTACTATTCTCAAACAGAGCTACAGTCTCCCTTGGCCTTGGTCAGTTCCAAAGAGCAGCATTAGATGCAAATTGGGCAATTGAGAACGATAAGTTCAACAGAAAGGCATATCTTCGTGCTGCCCATGCCTACCAAGGCATGTCTGACTGGGATAAAGCCATTTCCGCCGCTAAAGCTGGCTTGGAAATCGTAGATGAGTCAGATCCTATGAGGAAACAATTACAAGAAGTCGTCGATAACTGCGAGAAACAAAGAGGAGACATCTCTAATCACGTTGCTCAGTTCTTTACTTCAATTACTGCTTGCGATAGTTTCTTTAAACGTGAGAACTTCGCAATTGGTGAATTCCATCACTCCTGGCAAGGAAACTGGAACTTATTACTCCAATTTGATGAAGAAAAGAACGAAACAATTTGGCCAATCGCAATTTCATACGAAGAAGTTCTCCAAGTTGATTTCTGCGATGCATTCCATGAAAAGACACCTCTCATCAAGCTCTTGGAAATGATTTTCCCAGGAGTTCTTCCAGAAGCTCAATATCCAAATTGGGATACAGAAAAGAGATACAGAGTACCCGCAATTATACCATACGTACAGACATACGCTGTCCAATCAAGATGGGGAAGCAAAGCTAACGAAGGAGACAAGAAATTTGTAATGTTAAGTCCAAACGCAACTCTCCATGATTTATTCACACAGAAAGACTACATCATACCAGGATACCCTATCCTTATGATCGCAGTCAAAGGATCAGAGTTTTTCGAGAAACTTGGAATTAAAGAAATTATTCTCCCAGGAGGCGCAAGAAGGAAGGTTCTCAAGGATGATATCGAACCACCGCCACCTCTTCCAAACCCACTCGATGTCCAGAGAGAAATTATGATGAAGGAACACTCAGGAAAGAGCCACTACAATGATCCAGAGAATGAAGAAGGAGAAAAGGGTGAACTACCTAAGGAGGAACCTTCTCAGCCTTATTTGCCAATAGAGAAGCCAAAAGCTTAAAAATTAATAGAATTTTATTTGAATAAATTTTATTAGAACTTTTTCAACAAACATTTTTTCAAACCACAAAACAACTATAACCATATGTTAAACAATTCCCTCCAAATTAATAAAATTTGAATCGATTTTTCTTTTTATAAACAGTAAAAAAGCTTGGGAAACGAGCAATCGCTAATATAGAATAGGGTACTCTTAATGTGATGCAGTTTCCATCCTTTCACCCTCAATCAAAAAAATGAGTGAAATAAATCATAACAGAAAGACAAATTTGATCCGAAATTTGTCGTTAGCTACATTCGGTATTCTAAGTTCATAGTTAACTTAATGTTCTGAAATTAACTGATCTGCCATTTATTTTGAAAGTATTTGACGTGCGTCAGATTGTCACTTTTATTTCTGTGGATGATTTCATTTCTTGCTTCATTAGGGGCTAGCAAATTAACGTGCACTCATAATGAGACTGCTCCAGAAACAGTTGTCAGGAAAAATGAGAAAGGCACGTTTGACGGAGTAAAATGCATCAAAACAAATCCAAAGACACTTTTCTTCTTCAACCAAATTCAAGACATGAATGTTGAGTTCTGCACAACAAATTCAAAGAGCCATAAAGAAGAATGTATAACTTCAAGTACAAGAAATCCTATTGTTTCCTACTTCTTTGATTCCTACGGAACATTCAAATACCAAATTAACGGCAAGAATCCAAACCTTGGCATGCACATCGTTCCAGTTTCCATCTGCCCAAGTATTCAAATTTCTACAAAGCAAAACTACACATTTAAGCCAACAAAGGCCACCTGCATTATTCCAGGAGGAATTCCAAAGGCCCAGATAATATACGAAAGCAATATTACAGAACAACCATATCCAATCATCAAATACGAAGCTGACATGGCCGAAACACCTCTTTCCATGACCTATGGCCAAGTTAAAATGTCAATCGATGGATTTATCAAAGTTGAAAAGAACGTTACAGGAGTTTCACTTTCAGTTTACGGAGAATCAACCGAATCCCCAATTGTTTACGCTGGAGATATCAAAATGGTCGGTGCAACATATGCAAAGGATTACGTTCCAGAAGGAGGCTCCCACAGAGGATTTTATCTCGGATTAATCATTTTCACTGCAATTGCTGCAATCGCAGCTGTTACGTTGTTGGCTGTTTTCTTCATCAGACACCAGACAACCAAGTACTATACAGAAATTCCACAAGAAAACGAACTTTAATCAAATCTTTTTTGGTTATCTATTTTCTTTTTATAAGAATAAAAAATCATTTCAATCTAACCAATATTTTTCATCAAAGCAGATAAAAGTTCCTAAAAAATTAAATATTTTCCAATTTATGTTTCATTTACGGATAATTCTTCTCATTGCCGGGACATGTAGAATATAGTGGTATAATGTATTGATAATAACCTTTGATCGTAGCATATATTATATTCAAAAACAGTTAACTTTGGTTAATACTGAATTAACAGGGCAAAATACACCAAGTATATAACATAAATGAGATAACAAGAATTTGTGCATTCATATATTTGATATTGATTCAAAACATGAATTTTCATACCAAAAGGCTCTACTATATGATGGTTGATGCATTTTGTTTCCCTTAGTTAAATATTATGTTTAACAGCTTCTTATCTATATCCTATTGATGTATCATGTAACAAATTTAAGATTAAATTGTCACTTTTTATTTTTTAATGACAGAAAGTAATCAACACAATCGAATCGTAAAGTATATAAATGAAATCATAGAATATTGTCGACAAGATCCAACAAGGATAGAAGTAGCAGTTGCAAACTTTAATTGCTTATTAACTGCAATGAAATTATATGATCGCGCGCCAAGATATTTTAACTCAATATTTGACGATTGTGATGCTACTATTCCACTTCAGAATGCTCCAATTATACCATTAGCTGCAGATAAACCACCAGAATCCCAAAATAAGCCTCCAGTTCTTAATGAACTTGAAAAGATATATGGCAAAAAACTCAAAATCACAGATCTTCAAATGTTAGGTTCAGCTTTATCTCAAAATCTTAATATTAAATTAGATCGTGACACAAAACGCAGCAAAGTTGCAATGATCAACTGGTTTGCGACCAATTGGAATGTTATCTTACCAAAAATTTACGAATTAGGACTCCAAAGAATGGATTTCAGCAAAGCAAAATAATTTTACATTTAATTGTATATAATTTAACTTATGCGGCTATTAACTACGATCTTAGGAAGTTTTTAAGTTTCTTAAAATCGTTATTGTAGATTTTACAAAAATATTTCGGAATTTATTATTTCTAACGCGATGAATTTTACAAAGAAATCATAACAGAACTAATGCGTCGCAATCTTGAGCATATTTGATGGAAAAATTAAAATTTTTAATTTTTTCATTGCTTTTCCACATTAACTCTCAAAATATAACAACAACTACACTACGACTACTTATTCCATGATTATTACACAAAATAATTATAAGGAGTGTGGGACAAACTATCCAGTGTCACTTTTTTATTAACCTTATTTTAAAAAATTAATAAAATAATAATAAAAAATTATTTGAATCTTTTACATTAATTGTTTCTTTTTTAAAAGTACCTTTAAAGTACAATAAACAAGATTTGAATCTATTGATCCTTGTTGCAAACTTGAATATATTGCTTCAAGCATTTTCAAACATTCGACTTTTTTGTTTTCCAATATTTGTTCAAAAAAAAAAAAAAAAAAAAAAAAAAAAAAGGTAGTGGGGCTTCCAGGCACTTCGTGCCTTCTAGCCCTGAAGATGTTTAGTATAAATGAAGTCTTAGAGGACAAACATGACTATGAGTTTTGATATGACAAGATAGAATATGAGAGAGGTCCTATAAACCGGAGAAAGTGTTATATAAACATCTGTCATATTACTCAGAATATTATACAGAATTCAATAAAAATATATTTTAGGTGAAGAGGTGAGATTTCACCTGTTTTTTCACCTCATTTTTCACCTCTTGAATTTTCATGAATTTCATCGTAAAGACTTTGTCAAGATTTCATCGTAAAGACTTTGTCAAGATTTCATCGTAAAGACTTTGTCAAGACTTCTTCGTAAAGACTTTGTCAAGATTTCATCGTAAAGACTTTGTTGAGATTTCATCGTAAAGACTTTGTTGAGATTTCTTCGTAAAGACTTTGTCAAGACTTCATCGTAAAGACTTTGTCAAGATTTCTTCGTAAATGTTTTGTCAAACATGAACGTAAATGTTTTGTCAAGACTTCTTCGTAAAATCAGACAAAAATATATTTTAGGTGAAGAGGTGAGATTTCACCTCTTTTTTCACCTCTTTTTTCACCCTCTTGAATTTTCATGAATTTTACACCAAAAATATATTTTAGGTGAAGAGGTGAGATTTCACCTCTTTTTTCACCTCTTTTTTCACCTCTTGAATTTTCATGAAATTTACACCAAAAATATACTACTAGGGTCATTTACGAAGAAATCTCAACAAAGTCTTTACGAAGAAATCTCAACAAAACATAGACAAGAAAGTTCATGAGAAATTAGATGAAGAAGTCTTAACAAAGTCTTTACGAAGAAATTCATGAAAATTCAAGAGGGTGAAAAAAGAGGTGAAAAAAGAGGTGAAATCTCACCTCTTCACCTAAAATATATTTTTGGGTCATTTACACTCATTTACGAAGAAATCTCAACAAAGTCTTTACGAAGAAGTCTTAACAAAGTCTTTACGAAGAAATTCATGAAAATTCAAGAGGGTGAAAAAAGAGGTGAAAAAAGAGGTGAAATCTCACCTCTTCACCTAAAATATATTTTTGGGTCATTTACACTCATTTACGAAGAAATCTCAACAAAGTCTTTACGAAGAAGTCACAATAAAACATCTGTCACTTTTCAGGGAAAAAACATTTTTATTAAATATAAAATGAATTTTACAAAACCACCGTTACCCTTCTTTGGAAATAAGAGTAAATGTAAAGATATTCTATTGAGAGAACTTAAGAAACTACCGAATGGTCTAACATTTGTAGATTTGTTCGGTGGAAGTTTCTATATATCTCATTTGTGCCATACTGTATTTCCTGACTCAAAGATTATATGCAATGACTTCGACAACTATATGAACCGTCTCAAACATATACCAGACACAAACAAAATATTGAAAGAGTTAAAAGATACCTATAGGTAAGATGGAACGTATACCATTAGATAAGAAAAATACTGTCAGAGAGGTTTTGAAAAAGGCAGAGTATATTGACTGGGATAGTATATCTGCTAGACTATTATATAGTGGTGCTATAAGAGTTCATGACATTGAAACACTTATGTCAAAAGTTTTATATCTTAACTATACAAATGTTTTCAAAGAGAACATAGAAAAATATATTGAGGGTATAGAGTTTGTGAGATGTCGTTGGACAGAGTTGTATGAAAAATATAAAGACAAGGAAAATGTTTTCTTTATAGTAGACCCACCGTTCTATAACACATACGATTTTCAATACCAAGCAGACTGGACTTTGAGAGACTCTTTAGAAACTTTAGACGTTTTACATAACCATCCATGCTTTTACTTTACATCCGATAAAAGTGGTTTGGAAAGTGTCATGAGATGGTTAGAGGACATACATGACTATGAGTTTAGATACGATAAGATAGAATATGAGAGAGGTCCTATAAACCGGAAAAAGTGTCATAACAAAGAAATTTTATTGGTAAGTAAATGTGGTTTGAAATAGGACTACTTGTTTTAGGTTTTTTCCATTGTGTCATTTACTTATTTGACGTGGCAGAAAGATATAGAGAATATGAAGATGAACCAATGCCTGCAAATGTTCAGCATATGTACTCGTAAGAGATATTTTTATCTAATATTAAATGGACGCACAGAACTTAGCGAATGCACAGCAACCTGGACAACCAAACCCAGAGAATATTCCAAATGAAGTTAGAATACAAACTGCAATGGCAAACTATGGTCAAGTGCCAACAGATGTACAAATGCAAACTGCCATGTCAAATGACGCTGCGTTAGGTTTGCCACCATGGTATGCAAATATGAGATGGAAAGAGTTTTATACAAACCCTGAAGTGGGATATAAACAACTCTATGCAGATGACGCGAACACAGGAGTTGACCCAGAGTATGTTTTCTACCAGAGGAGAAATAGAATGTATGAGCTCCAGTTAAAGAATGCAATGGAACTCAGAAGGAAACGTAAGAGACTAGGTGGACATTAGATTTTTACATATAGTAAAATGGGTTTCTTTGGAAGAATAGGAAACTTCTTTCGAAATGTTGGAAGAGGTATATGGAATGGAATAAAAACCGTAGGAAGAGGAATTTGGAACGGAGTCAAAAATATTGGCAAAAGAGTAGGTCAGTTCGTTGGTATTATACCTAAAGACCCTGAACCAGAAGAACAAGCTCCTGTTATACAACAGCCTGAACCTGCACCACAGTCTAGTTGGCAACCAAATCCAACACCTCAACCGTATTAAAATTATATTTTTACCGTTCGATAGTAGTTGTATATGAAACTAAGTTCTAAGTAAAACGCGTGGTATAATGGAATTATTCTCTTTCTTCCATCTGTAGTAAACCATACTTGAAAGTCTGAAATACTTCCACTTGGTGGTTCGTATAGCTTTGTAGGTTTTTCGTAAAAGTCATTTGCCAAGCATAAAAAAGAGTTTTGTGCACCAGAAAATGAAGCATGAACTATAATAGCATCTGAGTCGAAAACATTTTCATATGTTCCATTAGGGTTTTCGACTTCATAAAAGTTCGGGTGTACTGGATATTCTGCAGGCTGATTTAACATCCTCAAAAATCTATACCATGCCAAGTTGTTATATTTTGTAGAAATATAAACGTCTTCTCCAAGGTCTTCTATTCTATTGATTTTAACAGTTGCATTTTTCCTGTCATAAACAATATCGAGATGGTACTCTCCTTCGTCAATGTTGTACTGTTTTGCATATTCGAGATAGATATCGTTTATTTTTTCTTGAAAAGCTTGAAGAGTTGTTTCTAAGTTTACAAGCAAATTCACTTGTAAAAGTTTTCCCTGTTCAAATTTCTCATACGTACGTTTTTCTTTGTTATAGTATCGAATTTCAAAAGCGACCGTAAATGGGAAACCATGTATGGCTTCTGAAATGAACTTCATTCTACGAAAGCCAACAGCTTTTGTGACGGATGGGTCTCTTAACCATCTCAATGGGTAGTCAAAACGATAGCCTTCATGCTTTACGGTCTCTGTCTCAAACTTTTGACCGACATTAGTAAAAAGTTCATCTAATGGTTTAGTTGTAGCAACTCTTGAATTTTCTTTTTCTATTGAAAGCATATTTTATCTAGAATAAAAATGTCGAAAGAAACAGCGTCTATGAGAGAAATACAACACAACCGACAACTCATTGTGCAAGCTCTAAATAAGAACACAACAAACTTTTCAAACTATTCTAAGATATCTGAGTCATTGAAAGAAGGAAACTTAAAACTGACATTAAACCCTTTAACAGACGAGTTTCTGTTTCAAGACAGTAAGAACCATACTGTTTGTATAAATCCAACAAAAGGAACTTTAAACGAGAAACCTATAAAAGAACTTCTTTTGAAAGCAGATGTTGACAACAAAGCTGACAAAGAGTATGTCATTGAAAAAGTTCAAGAAGAACATGACAGAGCAGATGCAACATATGCAACGAAAGAACATACTCATCCTGAACTAGCAGACAAAACATATGTTGACAATAAAATGTCAAGTGAAGTGACAAGAGCTGAAAACGAATATTCTAAAAAGACTCATACACATACCATTGCAAATATTACAAACTTACAAGAAACCTTAAACAAGAAAAGTGACGTTGGACATACACACGATTTCTTCGCAACTGTTGGTATAGAAAATATTGCAGGAACGGTTGAAGAACCTGATGGAACTGGTGGGGATGTATTAAATTGGAAACCTCCTAACTTTCCACAAGGTTTAACATCGGATGAAGACATAACGACGATGAAATCACTAGATGTAGAAATGTCTATGTCATGGAGGATGAAAACAATGTTAAATTCACTGCTCAAGATTTATATGATAAGAAAGCTGACAAAACAGAGCTTCAAACGTTAAAGACAGAAATACTTCAAACACTATATCCTATAGGTTCTATTTACA